GTTTCGCTTTCAAGGCGTTCCCACCCAGACACCGAAAGTCACGCTCCCGCCACATTTTGGGAAACTGTGCTCCCACACACTGCAGTGCTGCCCCGCCCAGCCCGGTGTTCATTTCGGCGAAACTCGTCGCTTCGCACATTCACATTCTGATCTTCCATGGCAGGGCACAGAGTCTCGCGTCACACTCACAACGAATCAGCAAGCAAGGAAGCCAGACAGACTTTGTACACTATACAGCCGAACAAGTATTGTAGTAGACTTCAGGTACTAGGAATCATAGTAGTGAACTTATATTTCGTAGTCACGACCGACAAACTCTTTTCGTGCCGAAACAACCCGTAAATTCGTAAACACACACTAAAACTCAGAAAAAGCCAAGCTCTACATCGAGCTCCTGTAGAAGCAGCTGCAGCTACTACAGCAGCACAAGGCCTTTGCCTTGTGTCGCAGCATCTACTGCAGTAGCTGCAAGCTTCAGTGGCGCGGTGATGTCCACGTTCATTTTGTCTGCAACATCAGCTGATCTTTTAAAGCTTTGTCACTTGTTTTTTTGCGTGCGCGGTATTGTTGATTTGGTGGTAAAATGTATTCATTTGTGCTGGCGTGGCCTCTAGTCTTCTTGGTTGGCCAGCGTTTTTGGACAGAGTGTTTCAGGTTCGCTGTCATGAACATCATCACAGGCTGGCCGCGCGGTGCCAGGGGATCGGCCAAGACCAAGTAAGGACGTCAGATGACGTCAGTAAGGCCAGATGGGGTTCCGGTTCTGTTCCGATCGGGCAGGCGTGTTTGTCGAGCATGCGTCAATCCTGTCCAAGCCTGATGATGAGGACGCGGGGTTTCACCTGCTGTGAGGGTACAGCATGTCTAGATAAAGCAAAAAAAGAAACACGGTTTCTCTAAATCTAGCATATTCCCCCGAGATGACATGATGAGAGCTGTGCAGGAAGCCATGGTGGAGCAAATGCGACAGCTGGGCTGCTTGCCTTGAACACCGCTTAAGTCTGCTGCGTACGGTGCCCTGCCATTTCGGCGTCGCTCAAAAGTAACCCAGTCAAGCCTCGAAGTGGACTGAAAGTGTAAGGAAGCGACGTCGAACATCTTACCGCATCTCGGACAGCAGCCTTTGCGTTGAAGCTTTCCTCGCATGTATGCATGTGAGTGGACCACACAGGCGATCATGGAGCTGATTGACAAGGACTGTCGGATAGCACGTGACATGCGCTCTTTCAAGGCAGCTCTTGCCCCGAAGATTGCAGCAGTTGCACCTTGTATAGCAAGGCCCCCAGAAGAGTCAGAAGCTTTGGGATTGTACCAGGACAAGTCCGGTTTCATTTCCGTGCGAGAATTCCTGACGGCTATGCAGAACGAAAGGACCATTGCACGCTCCTGCGTTGGACTGAAGTTGCCCTGAGCATCCCTGAGCCACCTGAGACTCTGGAGGATTGAGTATTCCCTTCGTGCTATCGGCACCTTAGCAGAGCATGAAGAGTGTCTATTTGTCTTGGGTGCATGGGTGCGCTATTATTACAGATCGGGCCAATGGTTCTTCGTCCAAGCCATCCTTGAGAGAGAGAGAGAGAGAGAGAGAGAGAGTCCCCGTTCGGATTCATATTTGACAGCACTGGAGGAGGACTCAGACACTTTTAGTGTGCTGCAGGCTTCATCAGGTTTTTGCGATCGATCGCCTGAGAACTCGAATCCGTGAAGTGTTGTCCTACCAAGGAGTGGATATGCGCATGCCAGAGAGGCGACCGACCTTTTTTGCGATTGTAGGGCTGCATGCTCCCTGACGTTATTCCACGTTATTCCTTCAAATGATCGCGACGACAACAACACTGGTCGAGTGAAGAAATGCCTAGCGTTTCTCTGCAGCAGGTATTTCACTACACTGGCCTCGCTGAGCCTTTCAGACAGCACTTGCGTTGTTCTGGTATCGGTGTACTCGTCATTGTCGAAACTTGCAAGTCTGAGGTGACAAGAATGAGATAAGCATCAAGGAGCTCGTGTACAAGATAGTGGACATGAAAGGCCACTTGTTGGTTTGCCACGCTCGTGTTCCCACCAATTTCCAGTTCTGATCTGGGCCAGCTTAGAGTCAGCCAAGGCTCTGCATCCCGAGCTGATGTGGAGCTTCTCAGTTTGGAAACCAGGATTCTGAAGCGGGAAATGACGACTATGCTCGTAGGTGGGGTGGCGGCATGCATTGAACACATTGAACACTCAATCAGTCCAGCACGTGCCGCGGAAAGTTCCTGTCCCAAATAGGGCTCCGCCAGTGGCTCAGCCATTTGACGCAGGCCTCAGAGAGCTTGTCCGACAGATGCAGGACCGGACTGGGATCATGCGTGCATGAGCTTGCGGCATTTGCTCCTGTGCCTCGCATGCCCCTCCTGAAGCGACATGTACTCTGTGTGTGGAGGGTTCATGGATCTTATCTGCTGTCGATCTGCCTAGTGGCCGAGCGCACGAAGCGTTTTCATGATAGGAGGTATCGCCCTCACGCACGACCTCGCCGACTGCACGGAGGCGGCATTCAATCATGACCACATCGCCAGTGGTATCGCCACTGGCTTCCGAACGCGGACTGAGTCTTACACAGAGACATTCGGAGGACTGAGAGGGCCGAATCTAGAGACCCCTCCGGACCCTGCAGCGAACTGCTGCGGAGTCTTGTTCTCCTTGTGGTGCGCAGACTGGCGGCACAAAGACATGCCGCATGGCTGCTTAAAAGCCTTTGTCTGAATTTCAACGTATGGCCGTGCAAGCCAGATCGGTGAACATGGCTCGAAACCTTTTGCCCGACTTTAAGTGTAAGTTTTCTTTGGCCTATGCACAGCCAGCTGAGCGGTTTTCTAACGGTGAAATCGCACTTGCAGTTAATGGACCTCCTGAGCGGATCTCAGGGCAGCAGACAGCTGGCAAGCCTTGCAGATGATCTGGTAGTCGCGAGAGAACTGCCCCGAGAATCGCTGAGGGTATCGAGATGGGCACAATGTGTTCACGAAGTGTTCACAATGTCAGGCAACTTCGGCATGCAGTTGGTGGATACATTGGTGATGGCTCGTAGCCAAAAGCTGGGCTTAGCGGCCGGGTTTTTGACCATGCTGTTAGAACATTTTGGCAGACTGGAGTCAGACTCATGTATTGCCAAAAGCAGTCTTGTTTCTTGGCAGTTGCCTTGGCTGCTGGCTATGGCTTGAGTCAATGACTCGAGCATTTTCCGGCTGTGCAAGACAGCATCGACTGAAGAACGCCATGCAACACTTGATTCGCCACCGCTTCAAATCCCTTGAGCTCATGAGACACCATTTTAACATGACGTGTGTGCGAATGAGGCCTCCCTGGCTGCGGCTACCGAGGAGGCCCGCGTCCGGGCCGCGGAGGCAGAGGCGTCCAACAGGGATCGGTACTTGGGAGGGGGAGAGGGGGCTGGGGGAGCCACGGTTGTGAATCGTTCTGCAGAGGCAAGTCTCTAGGTTCAGGATGTTTCAGGGGTGGAAGGACGTGGTTGGCAGAGGGAGGCGGTTTTTACCTCTCAGACCTTCTGGGATCCTGTTTCAGACTGTCTCACACCTGGCAAAGCGGTCTCTGCACCAATGGGGGTTTTCTGGGAGGACGATTCGCAGCCCGCCACACTATATGCTAGAGATAACGGATGTGAGAAGTTTGCTTGGCAGCCCTGGCTGCATTTCGTTAAGTAGGAGGGCTGCGATTTGCGAGCTGGTGCCATCGTCTGTTCAGCGGCAGGCCCAGCGCATAGAGATCCAGCGCCGGAAGGAGGAGCTCGAGGCCCTGAGTCAGGTCAACTATGGTCAACTGGGTCAACCCTCTCATCTTGATGGTTGACAAAGTGAGAAAGTGCCGGAGAGCTAAAGGAAGTGATTTTTGGGGACGTTGCTAGGGATGTGCTTTGACAGGGCCTGGAAGCAGCAAGGGATGACGCGGTGGAGCACTTGGTTTTTTCCTTGCTGAGCTTGTGCAGGTCAAAGCAGGGAAAGCAAGGCATACAAGGTCACGCATTGTGCAGCGCATGCCAGGAGCGCACACATGTGGTAGAGAAGGTGCATTCGGAACCCAATCATTGGCTGTTTCCTTTCGATCTGCCACCTCCAATTTTTATTTCTCGCTGTTGCTTCGACTTTTCGCGCAATGGCAACAGTTGGATGGGCAAATCTGACAACTGGGTCTCGCTGACAAATCACATCTGGAAAGCAGCAGTGCAAAGTTTCAGAACACACAAGCCGCAAGCCATAGCCACTGGCAAGAACCAAAGACCACTCCTTGCTGCCCAAAGGACAAAGCAACACGGAATGAGGGAGAGCCCAGGCACATGTTCAGTACTGCAATCGGACAGAGAGGCCCGACGATCGCAACAGCTTCGGGAAGAACAGCGCCAGGAGGCTCCTGCAAGCAGCACAAGTTTCTGCCAGATTCAGGGCCACAATTAGACTACTCTTGCATGGCGGTTGCAACATCCACCGGCTCCAAGACAAGATTCCGGAGGTGGCGCGGGCAGAGGAAGAGCGGCTGTGGCCTAAGAGTTGCCTACCGAATTGTCACCATAGAGCATCTTGCGAGACTTCTGATCGATCGGTCGAGATGACGTTGGTGCCAGTACTATGGCTGTAGCTATGGCGTGCCGTGCTTCACAATGCTTTGCGTGCCTTGTTCAATCGACAGCGTAGGGTGAAGAAACGACAGTTTCCGACTCTGACCCAAGTTAACGCGAAGGTCTCGCCTTGCCCAAGAGGCAGTTCTGCAAGAGGCAAGGTTCAGTATGTGGAGGGCACATGTGTTGCTGTGTTGCAGCTATGTCAGGGCTGCAAAATTCACGTCTGACCCTTCAGACCTGTTCAGCTGTTGGCAGCCATTCTGGCTGTGCTTTATCGTGTTTGCATGGCAATAGCAGACATGATCAGACATGTACATTCACCAGAAACTGCAGATGACCTACGAGAATAAGTAGAGAAGCAGTTTGAAGTAGTCTCTTCTGTGCTGTGATGGCGGGCCCCGTCGAACAAGAGCCTAGCACAGGTGGACTGGGATTGGGCAGTAACTTTGGAACTGTCGTGCCTACTTATTGTGCTTTCCAGTTGGGGAAACGTGTGGCACCGTGTGGTCAGGCCAGATTCGATGGGCCGATCCTCGCGTGGCTTCGGGCTTGGAGGATCGGCGGTCCCACAACCAAAAAAGTTTCCCGTTGACCAAAATCCCACGGCCTCGTCAGCAAGTAGCAAACTCAGCCTACTCCAGGAGTTGCGCGCTCTTCCAGATGTGGATGAGGCGTGCCCCCATTGCACACCGCCAAGTGCCGAGTCGGCAGCAGTGGTGAGGTTCTCGGCGTGCTGGACTCTGAGCTTTTGGCTGCCGCTTTCCTGGCCCGATACGACTTCGATGTGCAACGTGCTTTCGAGGCACAGTCGCATGAGCCGCTTTGATATTCGCAATGCTTCGCAGGAGTGAAGTTCTTTTGTGGTGCCTGTACCCACTGCATTCCATAGGCTATCTCGCACACAGCCTCTTGGCGAAAGCAAAGTGGCATCAGTGAGGCCGCGGAGATGCAGCAATGGCAGCTTCTGCGAAAGACCTGCTCGGCAGGTGAGGGCGAAGTTGCTGACGGAGCCGACAATGAGGCAAGCCGAAAGCTATGGCGATATGCACAGTAGTAGGCTCTAATTGGTCCACAAAAAGTCGCTCATATGTGCCATACTTGGCAGCTTGAACTGATTGCGCTTCCTTGCAGTTTCTCCGACTTCCCACATGGGCCGACTGCCAGGGGGCTCGGCAATCATCTCTATTTAGCTCTATTTGTTCTGATATCTGCTACTGCCAGTTGAACTTCGCAGGGTTCCTGGCAGTGTCCGGCACCAGAGGTCCTGAAGCACTTCCCGCAATGCGAGGGCGGAGTGGCCATGGACAAGCGCGGATTGCCCTACGCCATTCGCTGTGTAGGACTGCGGGGAGTAATGATAAATGCCACCTATGCGCACCTACCGGCTTGTCCAGCCCCATCGCGGCAAGGGAACCTCGAGGTGAGTTATGGGTGGGGCTCGATTCAGCCACTGACTGATTTGTCGTGTCTTTTTTCGACTGAGATGCATTTCCTCTCCTGCTTTGTGGCGAAGTGCCAGGAATTGCAGACGCTACTGGCCTGTTCTCAATCATATCCGAGGATCGACGTGATCAGAATCAAGTGTGCAGTCACACCATGCTCGAAGACATGTCTTCAGGACGAGATGATGCAGTTCCAGACGTACTTGCTACTTCGTCGTATGTCATATTTGCGATGTCCATGTCCAGGGACCCTTTAGTCGCATAGAGCATGGGCAGTCGGCGCTCCGGGGGTTGAAGGTGTGAGTGGCGCTTGCTGCAGCTCGAGAAGTTCGCAAAAGAAACCGGTGAGCTGACCGGCCTCCTCATTGTTCAGGTCAAAAAGGGCTGCATTGTTTCTTCACATGCTGCCCTCTGTTGCAAAAGAGATGGAAATGGAGCTTGTTGTGAGGACATGTTTGCGCCAGCTGGGTTGCTGAACGTGCCTCGTCTGTAGTCTGTAATCACTGACACCGTACCCATGCCATCAGATGCAAGCAGGCGTTGCGAGGCGGCATGGTGCAATCTCGCATGTCTATGCATAAGCTGGAGACCTGTCACGTTCCTGGTGCTAACGTCACGTGCGAACCTGTTCAGGCATGGCGGAAGCACGGAAGCAAAACAAAGATCATGAGGCGATTGACGGGCATGATGGATGAGCACTACCCAGGCACCGCCCTTGCAATTTTCGGAGGGTTTCCGCTGTTCAGCACTCTGACATGAGATGGTGAATGAACCTTTGAACATATTGAGAAGGTGTGATGGAGTCTGTCCTGCTGGTCAATGCTCCGTGGGCCCTGCATGCCATCTTGCGGATCCTGACACCCCTGCTCCCGCAGAGGGTAGTGCGAGGCCCAGTCTGTTGCAGCTTCAGAAACTGTTTGAAAAAGTCCCAGGGAATGTCAAAGAATTCGATCAAGCTCTGGGCGCTAACCCTCAAATTTGTCACACTGTACCGGGTGTGTGGTGCAATGTGGGTTTTCCCTTGCCCCGGCAGAGACGAGGCACACGAGGGCTCAGCTCTTGTGGTTACCCGGTTGCAAGCTCTTGAAGCGTGCACAGACCAGGTTAAGAAGCTTCAGATTGTACCAATGGCGCAGACGCCCGTGCCCAGACAGCACGTTGATGTTTTCAGTTGGCTGCCACAGCGCGGGGGGAATGGGACCTTTGACCCAGGAGCGGCTGCAGCAGCTCATCGAAGTGCCCTCGGTTTGTAACGTGTTACATGCTTTTCCCTCTCTCTCCATTCTTCTCCCTGCGGTCTCTGCTCTCCCCCCCCTCTCTCTCCTCTCTCCTCTCTCAATCGCTCCCACCTTGCTCTCTCGCTTTTTGAGAGGTGTCATGCTTGCCGCAGTTCTTGGGAGGCTCGGCCGATATTTCGGCTGCATTTTGCGGAGCAAGCGAACATGCCCGACTGCGCTGCAGCAGGTAGTGGTGCTGATGCTGATTTCGTGCCTGCGCGGGCTGCCCTCGATGCCAGCGGATCAGGTGTTGCCCCGCATGTGCACAGCTGAGGTGTGCGCTACATTGGTTTAGATCTGAAGCTTTGTGAAATCTTGAGCCTGGGAGTTGACCCAGCTGTGGGTACGTCGCCCCTTTGCCTCGCACGTGTGTCAGGATCTGAGCTCTTCATCAAAGCCGGACAGAAGGAAGAGCGGCGAAGCTCAGACATTGCCACGCTTTGTGTGAGCCAGCTTGGCGCCACGCTGCCAAGGCGCAGTCTTGATCTGCAGAAGGGCGACGTTGCAGCCTTCGGCTTGTCCGTCGCCAACGGCCGCTACCCCATTGACATAGGCTTCTGCATTCAGGTCGACTGCATATTTTCAGTCTTCCAATTTCAAAAGGCTTGGACATCATGTTCGGCTGCCACTTCGAAAAGGAGGCGGGTTGTGCAGATTCGTTGGCGTGGCTTTTGCAAAGCCTTGTGAATTTCACAAGTTGGTCCAGCGACACCAGCCACAACCGCAGCAGAAACATCATGCTGCAATCATGCTTTCAACGCTGCTTTCCTTTCCAGCCGGCGAATCCTAAAATCCCACAACTCCGTGCAGAGTTTCTTCGAAGCGTGTTCTGAGGAAGCCGTGGAGGAAGTGCTGTCTGCCAGGCGATTGCAGGAGGCCGGAACGTGCCCTTGCGCCCCACGGCTGGACACATCTGGACACATGTCTTCTGTTCTACGTTGCAGGAGAGTGGCTCTAGCTTTGCAGCACCCTGCGATGGGAAGCTGGTGCTCACCTTTGACAATTCATACAGCTGGGCGGCGTACTCGGATTTCTGAGTGGCGCGAGGATTACCTTTGTTTAGCCCCGCAGCAGGTCAAGCCGAAGGAGGTGCATTTTGAGTTGTCCAAACTCCCTGCCGAGGCCTGTTTCGAGCTCCAGTCTAGTCGAGGCAGAGAGTCACCGTACCGTTTCTCACCACAGGACGAAGCACAGACACCTTCTGAGGGCCTCCAAGAGGCAGCGACCGAGACGCCTTCTGACCTGGCGAGCCCGAGCACGCCGTCTGAGATGGATGCATCTGGCTAACAGATCTGTCTTTTAATTCTTGCAGCAGCTGTTTTTCCTTGCATCGCTGCTTTGTGCGGCCTAGGACTAGGACAGTTTGGAAAGGTTGGGAGCGATTTCAATCCCGCGGCTAGTTGCCGACTTGCCTTCTCACCTGCGCCTCGCGCACAGCCCGATAATGCTTTTGGTGAACTGGCTGCAGGGGTATGCAATCAGAAGTGCAAAATGCGCTGTACAGATCCTTGCAGAGCCCCCTGCCACGCTACCATGACATGCCCGGCCCGACATGCTTACAGAAAAAACTTCTTCGATGATGACGGAAGTGTTCTATGGTGTTCCTCACCCGACATGCAAGACTAACCTTGGCGACGCTACCTGCCCAGGCTGAGCTGCAGAAGAAGCGTGCTGAGTTGTGTCAGCCTTAAGCCTTAAGACTTGCGTCAGTAACTGCAACATCAGCCAGCCTCATTGCAAGACCTCGGCCAGTGGATGCCTCGCTGACTTCTAGTGATTCTAGTGATTCTAGTGCCAACGCTAGCAAGAAGTCAAGTCCAAACGCGCTCCAGCTGAATGTCCTGAGCACCATTCTGGGTGTGAGGGTCGCAATCTGTCCTGTGAATGCTTCACGAAAGTCGCATTCCGCCGCATCCTCAGGGAAAGTCTCGAGCAGCAAGCAGAATGTCTTGCGAAGCAGCGCCAGGAACAGGCATGGAATCCCTTGATGATCTCATGTCGGTGTGCATCTAGCGGGGTCATGAGCAAGCATCATGAGCAAGCCCCCCGGCGATGCGTCTCTGTCTCCACCAGGAAGAGGAGGCGGCAAGGGAGGCCTCCCGACAGGAGGAGGACGGGGCTGCAATTTCAATCTTCACCCTTCATTGGCGCGCAATCACAAGGAAACCATACATATGATTATGAAGCATGTCATGTAGTTGGCAGGGGTTCACGGCCGTCTTTTGCTGCCATGACAGTGTCTTGCAACTTGAACATCATGACGCATTATGGCAAGGGCGAACACTGCTTTCAGTCTTGTAGGTGTGTGTTGAATCAGGGTCACGGGGCTGAACACTGGCGACAGCTGGGAGGCTGGAGGTCTCTGCTCAGCCTGGTCCAAGCGACAGCAAAGCGATAGTGGAGCAGTGAGAGCCGGAACGAGCAAGGAAGCGCATGCCGACGTATGGGCGGCGTGCACCCCTCCCCCCCTCCGAGCCCCTTTGTACGGAGCTATGCAGCTAGGCTCCTGTCCCGCAGCCGTGGCCTCTTGGAGTGTGCACGGCCAATTCTCTGAACTTAAATACGCCCATCGGTATCCGCCTATTGCAGAAACTCGGCCCGGGTCCAGGGATAGTTCCTTTGTCAGAGGGCTCCTTTCATTCTGTCTATTTTGTCATGCTTTCGTACCCATAACCTGGCATGAACTGAACTCATGATTAACTTGTAAGTTTGAGATTGACATGTACCAGGCGCCAGAGAAATGTATGAGTTCTGCAAATGTTCCCAGCTCGCTAGAAAGCCGATGTCCTGCTTGAGGTTTCAGCTTAGCCAGCTTGGCCAGCTTGGCCAGCTTAGCTTCAAGATTCTAGGCCTTTTGCAGCACGGTACGATGAAATGGACCGTTGCATGCTCCACATTGCCATTTATTGCTCGACCTGGTAACCTTGCAAATGCACAGGAGACGAGAAGACGCCAAGAGGACTTGGACAGGCGCAAGACAGAGCTCCAGCGGCTTGAGGCCCCTGGTTTCGACATTCCAAGCCCAGGCTTGAGCGGAGAGATCCGATGTTCAGTGCATCAGGCTGAGCAAGAGGAGGCTGCTAGCCTGGCACCCGACTAGTTTTCGTCCAGAATAGACTAAGCGGTGGCGATGCCCACTTTTGAAGTGTTCTACAGCCTTACAGCTTAGCAGCCCATTCTTCGTGCCGAGGGCAGCGCCTCGAGGAGGTCTGGCACATGCTGATGCGAACTATTCTGATAATGATTATTCGTAGTATTCTTATTCTCATTATTATTATTAGTGTTGCTGTTCTTGTTCTTGTTATTGTTATTGTTACTATTCTTATAGGGGCTGTACGATCGCTCCCTTGGAACCTGTCTGTCAGTTCCATCCTTGAGTGCAGGCGAAGCAGCGGGAGGAGGAGCTGAAGATTGCGCAGCAGGTGGGGTTGGGGATGTGTTCGGGTTAGGGCTATGGCTAGGATGAGGGTTGGGCTTGGGGTTAGGATAACTTGGAGTTGGGTGAGGTAGGGTCAGGCTGTGTCAGGCTAGGGGTAGGGTACCCCACTGTCCCGGGTTGGGGACTGTGTTTTTTTTGAAAATGGGACGCTGTGGGAGTGCACTTCTTCCACAAAAAACACGCAAAACTTTTAAAAAACTATAAAAACACACGAAAAACTTGCAACAAGAAAAAACACACACAAAATCCCTACAAAAACAAAAATAATGAAAAAGAAACAAGAAAACCAAAAAAACTAAAAAATAATAAATAAAACAATCCTGAGGGACTCTGTTGGGGAGCCGGACCCCCTGGGAAGAGTCTCTCAGGATTGGTTTTTCTTGTTTTTTTTTTGGGGGGGGGATTCTTGTGCAAGAGAACCAAAAAAACCAAAAAAACCAAAAAAACCAATCCTGAGGGACTCTGTTGGGGAGCCGGACCCCCTGGGAAGAGTCTCTCAGGATTGGTTTTTTTGGTTTTTTTGGTTTTTTTGGTTTTTTTGGTTTTTTGGTTTTTTTGGTTTTTTTGGTTTTTTTGGTTTTTTTGGTTTTTTTGGTTTTTCGAGGACTTTTGTGTATTATTGGAGATTTTGCTGTACCATTTTCTTTTGTACGGTTTTTCGGTGTCTTCTGAAGGGTGTTTTTTGGCTTTTTTCTTTAGGCTTTTAGGTGTTATTTCATTTTCGTACGTTTTTTTGTACAGTTGTTTTTGGTATTTGTGTTTTGTGTGTGTTTTATATTTCTGAGTGCCCTTTTGTACGTGACAAAAGCACTAACCTGGACAATCAAGCACATGGCATTCTGTGTTTCTCTCATCTGGTGGGCGATGAAAGATTCTCTCTAGGTCCTGCTTTGCACAAATTTAAACAACGTTGATATATTATCCATGAATTTCGTGCTCCCAGCCAGATGGTTTGAAAAGCATGGGTTTTTTGGAAAACGTTGGCATTACCGACGTTTTTTTGGCTCCATCCTTCAAAAAATTGGTAAAAACCAATGTTATCCATGAATTTCGTGCTCGCGGCCACAATGTTTGAAAATCATGGATTTTTGGAAAACGTCGGTTTTACCAATGTTTTTCGGCTCCATCTTTCAACAACATTGGTAGAACGAATGTTTTCCATGAATTTCGTGATCTGAGGCTCTCTCCCAGCCACCATTTCTCGAGGAGGTACCAAAAAACAAACTCGAATCCTGCAAAATCTCGAGAGAGTACCAAAACCTCCATATAATCAATCACGCCCCAATACGCAAAGCATGACATCTGTCCTAAAAACTATACCTTAGCTAGGATGTATCAAGCAATCATCCCCCAATAAGCAAAACCTAATATCTATACTAAACACCGTACCTTAGCAACATATTTTAAGACATCACGCCCTAAGGCTCCTACCAATGTAATAAGGTTCCTATCAATCTAAGCAGGGTTCTTATTCATGTTACTGGGATTCGCAATGGGTTTTAATTAATTTTAAGGATTAGGCTCATAATTATTAGTTTAGTAGGGTTCCTATTTGTTCTTGTACAAGGATTCTATTGTTTTGCAGGCCTATTGGTTCCTATTCATTTTAGTAAGATTCCTTCTCGTTTTAATAGGATTCATGTGAATTGTAACCCGGGTTCTTTTTGATTTGTCAAGGGTTCCTATTCATTTTAATAGGCTTCCGTCCTAGTAACTGTTATCTGGTTCCGATATTTCAATAGAGGATCCGAATTATTTTAATAAGGCTCCTACTCATGTAATAAGATTCCTATCAATTTTCATCAGATTCTTGTTCATGTTAATGGGATTCGTATTAATTTTAATAGGGATCTCATTCACTTTAAAGGGGTTCCTATTGGTTTAGGCTCATGTTCATTTTAGTATTTCTAAGGGTTCGCCTTATGTTTTATAGGAGTCCGATTGGTTCGTATTAATTGTAGTAGGGCTCCTCTTCAGTTTAATAGGATTCCTATTAATTCTACGAGGATTCTCATCTTTTTGTGAGGGGCCTCCAATTCATTTCAAGAGGCGTCCTATTGACGTTACGGCTCCGAGTAATTGAAAATAGGGTTCCTACGGATATAAGTAGAGGATTCCTATTGTTGTTTCTAGGATTCCAATAAGGTTGGCCCATGTATTTTGAAAACGGGGACAGGACATACACCGTATCGCTGCTTTGTGTTGGCGCACTTGTATGCTGCATTTTGTGCATGACTCGTGATTTTGTTTATATAAAATACGGCTGCGCTGTGAGAGTGTTTTTGAAATATCTTTAAACAAATAGAAAAAAGTGCACTCCCACAGCGTCCCGGTCTCTTTTTTTTTGGGGGGGGGGGGGGGGGGGGGGGGGGGCGGTTCCAGCGGGTCCCTCTATATGATGACACGTGTCTTCAGGATGGTGACTTTTTTTTGCAAGTGTTGTCGATATTAAGAAAAAGAGCCCCGAAAACTGCCTAGAGTTTCCTTTTAAAAGCAGAAAAAGGTGCCGAGAGTAATCCGGCACAAGCGGGTGGTGGTAGAACGGGCGCTGTTTGGGCACCCTTTTATGTCCTGGCCCTGGGACCGGGGGCTCTGGATTTCGATGGCGTGGCCTCTTTGCTTTAAGGACGAGCTTTGGAATCATAAGGCCAGGGGGCGAATCCAACGCCTGGCCTTGAAAACAAGAGGCCTGGTCTTTGAAAGCCGATGCCCCCGTCTTGGGGTCCTTATATGGGCCCCTGGCCTCAAGATTTCAAGGCCAATTTCAAAGGCCAAGCTTGAAATCTTAAGACAATGGAGTTTTGGGTTGGATTTCATGTAGTTCGTGGGCCCGTTCAAAGAGGGCCCAAATCAGCTCGACTGTTCGGGGGGAGGGGGGGGGGGGGACGTATGAAACAACATGTCTACCATCAATCACCTGCAAGGCTTTGCAAGCCGAGCGCGGGTTGCTGAGTGCTGTTGGTTTTTGTTGCTTGATGTTGCACTGTGTGTTGCTTGTCACCTTTTTAAGATGTTTTAAGGCGATGCATTGCTGCGGCAACGTCCTGTTCTGAGGAGCACGCAGTGTCGAGGGCATTTGTACAGATACGTGCGCCACCGCACCAAGGTGAGGAACAGCAGGATGCCGAGGAGAAGGCATCGAGCGACCGCCGAGCACGTGCCATACCCCCAGCACCCAATGTCTGCCTGCGCAGTGCCTGTTCCATACGAAACATGCTGTAAAGTAATTTTGGGCTTCCGAGGAGGCGGAACTTGCCGATCAGCAGGCCAGGTAAGTTCCGCCAATAAACGCAGACATGGGCTTCAAGAAGTGAACGCTTGCCGTAACGCGCAGTATGAAGATGCTCTACGAATGCAAAGCTATCGAGACGAAGCATATTCTGGCGTAGGTCTACATAGCAAGGCATTGCAGGTTGCACTCGTAGTAGCACAGATGATCTTTGCGTGTGGATAGTCGAAACTAAACCATCCATGGCTGCCATGAACAATCGACCACAATGGATATGGTATGGCAGGCACACCTGGAAGCACAGCGCCGGGAAGTGGAGAGCTGTCGGCAGCGGGGTGAGGCAAAATTGAGCCAGATCATGCAGAGCTGAGACTGCATTCAGTGTGCAAACGCCAGGCCGAAAGAGATACCCAGCTCCAGGCACTGCAGCAGCATGAAGCTGAGCTGAAGAGGTGCCCGGGTTGCACCACCAAAAAAACTAATCATAGCGCTTCGTGTTCAAGCATTTTGATATATGTTGTAGACCGGCAAGCCTCCCGACACCGATGGATATGACAGAGTCGGCTGAGTCCAAGTGCGCATCTCTGTGTGTCATTATGATCTGGGCTACTGGGTACCATGCAGGCACCGCGAGGAGCTGGAGCAGCAGCGGCGAGAGGAGGAGGTCTGACAAACATAAACAAACACGGCTGTGTACTGTACTTTCACATTGCAGTAGAAGCAAGCTGCGCCAATCTGCACGCAGTCGAAGTGACGACAGGAGCTTCGAAAAGCACATGCAGAAACGCCAGCCCCTGCATGGTTGCGTGACGGTACGCGCGTGATCATGTGTGGCAATGCTAGAGTCGCTAGAGTCTGGAGTCGGTCGAGGGCACTGCCAGGTTTCAGCTGCTGGACCAGGACGGACCAGCAAGTGACGTCACACACGGCAGAAGGAAGGAATCTAGCTCCTCCACTCAGGAGCTTCAGGACCGAGCACAGCACATCTCGAGTTCAGAGGAGGCCCCGTATGCCCCGTAACAAGGATCACAACTTAGAAATCTTAAGGCCTCGACGTTTGCAGTCGCCTCGATTGGCTGCAAGGCGCTGGCCTCCGAGAGGCAACAGATCCTCCGCTCGCGCGGGCAGCTGGCGATGGCTCGGCTCCTCAACGGTTCTCAACACAGGGAGCATATATTGGGATGTTCCCCCCTTATACTAACAGTCCTCAATCGGGATCATAGTATAGTACTCTCAGTATAACCTCTATGAAGGACTATCAGCATAACGGGGAACATCCCAGTACATGGGAGCATATATGGGAGCACATGAGAACAGCCGAAGTAGTGTCAAGCCTTGACTCGTATTTTCTTATTAGGGGCCCTCAGCATGACGGTGCTCTGCAGTTAAGCACGTTTGTTTTGAGCCTTCTTGACCTTCGAAGCTGCAGAGGAAAAGGATACAACACGTGAGCAAGCGAGGCCAAGGCATCTTTGCACCTTTGAGTCAGGCCCTAGGAATCGGCAAGGCCACAGAGCTTCGATTGCTTAATCAACTCAGCTCGTGCAGCTGCAAAACCATTGTGACCGCAACAAGAGCCACACGGACGGACGATCTTTCAATGTGTTTTCACATTGCGAGGCGGCCCTCCCTAGTTTTTGGAGAATGCGCGCCTACTGTGCGAACAACAAGTCTCAGGTGCAAGCACACGTGGTCTGCTTGCTTGGCAAGGCCGCCTTCGACGAGCGTCTTCGGCATTCGTTTCATGAATTCTTTCTCCCCTTGCTGTCACGTGAGTGCGCACGTGCACGTACTAGTATGTCAGGATGGGGGAGGCAGGCTGGGAGTTTTGCTGGGTTGGAGCAGGTGGCAGGCGATGGGGCCTCGGAAAAGGCGATGCACCTCGATGCCTCCGACGAGCCAGAGGTACGCCACTCGTACATTCAGGTTTTAGGTGCGGTGACAGGGTTCTACCTTATAAGGTACTTCCCGAAAGGCTTGTACGGCAGTGCATTCGAAGGCCGAGCTGGACGTCTCAGGGGAAACCAACGATGGTGATGATGATATGTGGAACATGGCCGCGGCCTTGGTGCGACTGTGCTTTCTGGTGTCAAAGTCCTCCGCTGCTTTGCCCACTGCCCTGAACGGCCTTAGCGTCAGTGAACGAAAATGCGAGGACTGGTCGGCTGTAGCCGCAAAGCGATCTGAGAAGTCCGAGGCCGATCCGACCTAACGCAAGCGACGACTCTTATGTACCAATGCCTCCGTGACGGACAGCGGAATTTGGGCTTGTTTTGGGTAGGACGCACCCTCGTGTGCCCTGCGTTCCTGGGGTTTCCAGCTTGGGGGGTTGGGGGGGGGGGTTGGGAATATCCATGTTGGGAATATCCATGTTGCGAATATACATAGCACTTGCTGCAGGCATCTCCCCCCCGAAAAAAAGCCGGCCCCAAGCATCCCAAAATCCTTTCTTGCCTGAACCTTCAAACCCACCAAAGCAGTCAAACCTTCCCAAAGCCTTTTTGACCAAAACCTTCAAGCCCAAGCATCCCCAAAGCAGTCCAAACCCAAACATTCCTGAAAGCAGTCCAAGCCCAAACCGTCCCAAAGCCTCTTTTCCACACATACACAAGGACATGCAAGCCCCAAAAAGTACCCTCAAAAACCCCTACAAATAAGCTCAAAACACCTAAAACATGGTATACACAACTTTTCGGTTTTCCTGCCTTTCAAAACAAGGCTCCCGCCTAGGCGAAACACTCATTTTCAAGAAAAAGCGCCCGCCCTTCGAGGGATCAGTGGCGTGTCTTCCTGGCTCCGAAAACCGGAATGAGTCAAAAACCTCGGTTTTTTACACTTTCCAACTTAACCACACCCAACGCATGCCAACAAAACGCAGGGCACTCCAGCGCGCGTGCTACCTTGTTTTACGGCCCACCGTGCCACCCTAGCCGATCGCTGATATTCGCTGATGCGCGCAGCGCACACACGCACACCCACGCACACCCACGCACACACACGCACACACGCACACACGCACGCGCGCTTGCGCGCGCCCACACACAGACACCACAAATAAAGGGCCCATGATGCGCACACCCTGGACAAGCATTATCGCGCCAAAGATGGCGACCAAAAACGCACAAGAAATTTCGGTTTCTCGCAGAACGTTGTTGGGGAATCCGGAAAGAGTGGGGAAGACGAGAGATTCGGAGGAGGGCGGAGGAGTCCGAAATGCCTAGGCGCCGACAGCCACAATCGCTCTAATAGAGTCTGGTAGTGCGAGCTTGACTTTGCGCGCAGGGCGATGCTTTGGTTGCCCAGGCCAGGGTGTTGGATGCTTGAAGTGTGGGCTCATGGTGCTTGGCCCAGGAGCTCTCAGAAAATAGCCAGCCCGTCTGCTAATTTCATTGCACGTGGGGGTTGCTCAGCCTTTTTACAAATCGCTACTAAATCTGAATGTGTCCACGACTTCTGACTTGATGAAGGGCCGAGCAACATTTTTCCTTTCGGACTTGGCTCCACACCATGCTGGTGCTCAGGCAATAGCTAGCAAGCGCTGCAAAATTGCAGTTTGGCTTTTGAACTTTGGATCATAGAAGTTTCTGTTTCTGGAAGGTTGCTCCGTGACATTCTGCACAAGATTGCACAAGAGTGGCTGATCTTCTTCTTCGGTGGGTTCTTTGGCCGGCTGTTATCTCCAAGCCTGTAGAATCAGAGCATCCTCCAAGTTGCATGAACGTTCTCGGAGCAAGTTTGAGCGACCGTGGGCCTGTTTTCCAAGCTTTCAACAGATTCCCCATGTCGTAGCAGACCATAGCAGACCAGAGTCTGAGACTCTGGATCGCGGCAAGCCCGACACAGAGCTCGGGTTTGCTCGAGCTGCAGACCGACGTTCCGAGGCTTGTAGCCCTTGGCATGCTGAGCTTTCGAAGCCATTCAGGTGATCAGTGTCGAACGTCAATTAGGGCTCGGCAGTGCAGCAGTGCAGCTGCTGACTCGTTGTCTTCGAGTCGCCCCGCTCGGGCCTTTGCAAAAGAAGCGTGAGAGGTATATTTGGTCGAGAGTTGATGACTGATGTGCAGCGAGGCAGTTGAGCTCAGGCGTGTCGGAACCCTGCTGTGCCCAAGCGATCAGATGCGATCAGGGTGTTATTGCGTTGAGCGTCGGAGAGCGTAGCCTAAGTGTAGCTGCAGCCATGAAAGCAGGACTGGTCGGCCTGCTGCTTGGTTTCCCTAGTGGTTTGGCCAAGATTGCATGGCCATTGGGCTGGCCCACCTCACTCGAGTTCCTTTCCTCAGGGCCTGACGCTGATTTCTTTGAGTTTGTGAGTCCTCTTGCCGAAATGACGAAGCTCACGTACACAGCTACTTGGGGAACTTACTTCAAACCATCAGACCAGAACCAGTCTGTGGAAGGCTGGGTGAGAACGTGGCCAGAGGCAAACCCGAAAGGTGGCATGCGAGCGTTAACCTTCGTCCAGGAGAGCGCAGGACGTGGGGTAGTCGCATTTCGTGGCACAGACTTAAACCCCAGCGGCAGAAGTGGCCAAGCAGATGCCTGTGCAAACGAGGAGCTAGCCGAGAAACCGTTACCTGCCTTCTGCAATCAGTTTACTGCTTTTGAGCTAGACTATGTGTCACGTGCGCTTGACCTAGCACAGAAAGCTGCACAAGCACATCCGACGGTGGAGTGGCTGTACACGGGTCATTCGCTTGGGGCCGAGTTGGCGAGTGTTGTGGGCGCCGTGAGGAGAGCTCCGGTGCTTAGCTTTGCCGCTCCGCCAATTGTGCCGGTGCTCAAGAAGCGCACCTCTGTCGATGTGAAGCAGCTGCCATTCTGGAAGTCTTTATCGTTGTACAATGAATTTGACCCCTTGCGCTTCCTGGCACTTGGAGAGCTTCCAGGCGCAAACTGCAGCTGGGACAATCAGCCGACCCCCGCAGGATGCGATGCTTGCGAGCTCCATGGCCCTGTCAATTTGACCTCCCCGGCCTGCCAACAGTGCTTCTCCAAGACACACATATTTGCTTCTTACCTTGCCCTTGTGAGATCACGAAGCCGTCCCACCTGCGTGGTGGCACTGGACGAGAGCATTGAAGTGTGAGTTCAAAAAATGAGCGTGCGGACAACAGGTGTGAGTGTGTGGGGGTTCATCCCGTTGCGTTCCCCGCGGTCTCAAGTAGGTAAGTTGGTCGTGCAGTTGCCAGGCGAAGCGATACCGAATCCCAAAGACGATACCTCTCTGTTAAATGTGTTTCTCTGGCGAAGCGATGCCTAATACTGTCATACCACAACTGATGCCCTTCCCTTCAATGTTGACACTGGCTCAGTTGAAGCAGCTGGGCTGCTAGATCTGTCCTTCATGTCATGCAGCATGCCTCTCAAGCTCTGTCCATGACTGAATCTGAAGTGCTGCAGACAAGATGCCGTACATGGTCAGGGACTGTACAGCAGAGTCATGCTGACAGGTGTTTCGGCTACAGTTACACAACAATGCCTTAGCCAACATCTGCATGTCAAGCGTTTCTGACTTCGCATCTAGAGACGGCGAGTGCGCCCCGACAGAATGTTTTAGCACAGGTTGCTGCAAAGCCATGGGGGGTACTTGCCTTCACCTCTTCACTGGCGAGGCCCGCAACCGAAGACAGCACTGCAGCACGATTTGGTGCACATGTATTGAATGATATTGAATGCATTGTTTCTGTGTGCCAGCTGCTTCACATGCCTGCAGCAAGTGGTTCACAAGCACTGACTGCCGCACTGCCTTCTCCGCATTCCCCCCGTGATTGACATGCCCTCTGCTTGTGACCCTTGGTCTGCTTGGTATTCCGTCAGACTTCCCGACCATTTTAGGTTCAGCTGTTATGCTGTCGTTCACTAAGGATGCCCCGGTGATTGCCACTCTAGGCGCAGCTGCTGTCATTGGCCTTGGCAGCCAGGCGTTCGTGGCCTCCAAGCCCTTCCAGGCTTCATTGCGCACATAGATTCGGCACAGAAGCATAGAGTCTCTGCCCGACGAGAGCTGGTTCTTAGAGATCCTGTATGGAGCCGTGGATGGCGCGTAGCCACAGGCTGACACTACGCCAGCCCTGAGGGGCACCGGCGAGACCCGCGCTGCGGGATCCAGCTGGGGAGGCTCCAGCAGGACGCGGCAGTCACAAAGTCGACAAGAGTCACCAGGAGTAGATACGGAGAGTTCCCAACAGCTCGCCTGTGCCCTACTTTACGCAGGACATGCTTCTCTGAATACTTTTGAATGGTTTTTGTCAAGAGTCTTCAACTTTGAGGACCCTCGCTGCTGGTGCAGTGGCCACCGCAGCCGTTCTTGGCCGCGGGGCGCTCCTGCGCCGCCGAGCCACCGCCGTGCCCTGGGCCAAAGTAACGAAGGGAAAGAGTTCAATCACTCAAGATTATGCATCTAAGCATTATGCATAAGCCCTTCAAATCAAGACATATAATGTACGCATGATTATTAAACAGCTGGACAACGTGGGCGGTCCCTGAAATGCTTCAAACCCTGGAAAGCGATCAAACATGCAACTCGAATATCGTGACACCAACTGCCCCCCCCCCCCCCCCCCCCCCCCCCCCACCCCAAAAAAAGAAAGCAAGTCTCCACCCCTTCAAAGATGCTTGACGAAAGCCTTTCAGTTTTCAAGGCCTCTGGAAAGGGAAGTCGGGCCTGGATTCCATTTGTTCGATATCCAGCTTAAGGACTGTAAGGGCTTGACATGCTAATGAACGGTAAGGTGGTAGCGCCCCCCCCCCCACCAAGTCTTCACTCGCGCCGCGCGCATCAAGTGCCCGGACACGGGGGGATTCGGAATAGAGATAGGGCTATGACACAACCATATTTTGCTTGAACATGTTCAGGTGAAGAAGAAGGGTTTCCGCGTGGTGGAGGGCAAGGACAGTGCCGAGTGAGTCGTGCTATGGAATCATACTATCGATCAAAGGCTGGCGCAGCCTGCAGCAGTTGCAAGTTGCAAGTAATGCTTGCAGGAGATCCCCTGGAATCTGTTCAGCCCGAAGGCGCCATATGAGGGCAGCTGCATCTCCAAGGAGACTATCACCAGCAAGACTTCCCTGGTGAACTGGGAGACGTGCCATGTGATCATGGACCATGGCGGCAAGGTGCCATACATCGAGGGCCAGTCCATTGGTGTGATTGCACCGGGGCCGGACAAGAAGGGCGAGACCCCAGCAAAGATCCGTTTGTACTCCATCGCATCCTCTGCTCCTGGTGACGACGAGACCAACAAGACCGTGTCGCTTGTGGTGAAACGCGTAGTCGAGGTGGCCGGACGTGGCTGGTGCGAGTACTCCAACGTTCCAAAGGGCAAAGATCTTGAGTTCCCAGATGCAGAGAAGGTCTACCGCGGAGTTTGCTCCAGCCACATCTGTGACCTGAATGCTGGAGATGACGTGCTGATCACCGGGCCTGTCGGTGCCGAGATGCTGCTACCGGAGGCAGTGAGAAGTCACAATCTGAGGCATAACTGTAGTGAACGTAGTGTCACAGTAGTCTTGTGAGCATAGCACGGGCTTGCAGCGTTCCTTTTCGTGCGTCAGTGCAAGATAGAAGCTACCGGAGGACCCCGAGGCCAACATGATCTTCATGGCGACTGGCACTGGCATCGCACCATTCCGGTCTCACCTGCGCAACCTCTTCAACGACAAGGTCTCGAAGGGCAAGTTCCGGGGCTGTGCTTGGCTGTTCTTGGGAGTCCCCTTCAGCGAGTCCTTGCTCTACGACGAGGAGTGGAAGGAGATGCAGGCTGAGTTCCCGGACCAGTTCCGATACGACTATGCCATCTCCAACGAAGAGAAGTCGGAGAAGAACAAGATCAACGGGGAGATGTGGGTGCAGCACAAGATGATGCAGTACAGCGACGATCTCTGGGAGTTGGTCAAGGACAACCCAGCAGGGGTTGGTTCTGTCTTCTGCACGTGCAGTTAGCAAGGGCTGGCGACGCTGCCGCGTGTTAAAGATGTCGCACCCATATGACTGTGCAGGACCCCAAGACGCACGTCTACATGTGCGGGCTCAAGGGCATGGAGAGTGGCTTCGCTGAGTGCTTCCAGGAGCTTGTTTCAAGTTGTGTCCTAGGGCGGCAAGCCGAATCATTAGATTCATGGTGATTCAGTGATTCATGCGATTGGATTTCTTTGAGAGTCGTCCTAGTTCTGTCGCGATGCCCGACGTGCGCCATGGAAAAGCTCCTCGCTCGTGACCGGCTGCAGGAGAAGGTGGAGGCAGAAGGCCTGGTCTACACCGAGTTCTTGAAACAAATGAAGAAGGAGCACCGTTGCCCGGCCGCAGTCAGCCACTTCCCAGGCTGCGCTCGAGTGGAATGCTGTTAATGTTGAAATATCATTTGAATGACGTGTTGCTTGTAGTTGCAGCAGTAGAGTTACAGGCTGCTTGGTAGGGAAGGGGACTTGAACTTGCTGATTACAGTCAGACGAAACCCCGAGGCTATCATGTGGAAGTCTACTGAGTGGCCAGTGGGGGTTCCCCGAGTTAATGCTGACTTCTTGAGCCACTGGCTTGTCTTCTTGTTTCATACTGTGCCACATAAGCAAAGCTGCTTGTGCACGTACTGGGAGTAGATCTTCGACTTTGTTGTACATATCCCAGCTGTGGCAGCACTGAAGGCATTGATGTTCAGAGTCGCTAGGAAGCTCAAGGCTCCTGACTGTGCTGACACGCCTGGTGATGGTTTGCACAAGTGTCCCACAGGCTGTAGAGGGGGGAGGCTTTGCTCACCTGCTCCGATTTTCCAGCTTCCAAAGCTACTTGCGGGTCCAAGAGGCCCACAGGCAGCAGCCCACAGGCCATCGAAACCAAGCGCAGACCACACACGTGTGAAAAATCCAGAGGCTCAGTGCAAAGCTGATGCGACGAAGCCTCGTTTTGCTTCTGTTTGTACCCAGTTGTTGTGCAGGTGCAGTGCGAGCAGCTTGCGCTGCGCCGAGCATGGGCCCTTTCCACCGATGTTGCATGGCAGACAGAAGGGCGAAGTGACTTTCTGCATATGATAGATATATAGATATGCCCATTTTGGAAAGCAGTTCTGAGTAGGTGCTCATGATCGCTTTTTTACTTTCTGCATGCCGTGCAAGTCAACTACAGTCGGCATGCCTTAAACATATGCGTCATGCGGATGGTTGTTCTTATCATGCTTGTTTTTGTAATCTTGCTGTTGGGGCTTCTCCTGCATTATGTCGTGGAAGGCCCTGCCATGAAAATGCCATTCTTCCCCCGTGTGCTTCCGCGGAGACAAGGTGGCTCAAGGCTTTCAGCTCATGGACTCATGGCTTCCCGGCCTGAAATCGCAACCGCGGTCGCAGCAACAGCTGTGGGCGCTGTGGGCATTGCTTGCTGGCTAAAGTTTCATCAGCCGTCTGCCGAACAGCATGAAGGCGAGGATGAGAACGGCCAGTGCAGAATGGGCATCCAAGAGCTTTCACAGCAGATCCAGGAACAGCTCAAGACTCGAAAGCCCCGGCATATAGACGGAGTGGAGCCATCGATGTACAAGCTGCCTCCCTTCATTCCGAAGTCCACTTGGACAGTTCTTGGGGATGAGCTGCGCCGCTGCGAAACTTTGGACGTGACGGAAGTTCCAGGAGAGCGTTTCATGACACTACGTTTGGACGGCAGTGGCTTCTCCAAGCTGACCAGACGAATGACCTCATTGGGTGTCTTTTCTGCGGGATACTCACATGAGTTCGCTGACGTCATGCGGGAATGCTGCCAGTCGTTGATGACCAAATTTAGTGCCATCTGTGGGCAAGGGCAAAAACAACAGAAAGGGACGGTGAAGGGTTGTTTCAGGGTTCCTTTGGCTTGCAGCCTCCTGCCAGATTGATGTGGGACCCTGGAGGTGGATATACGCAATCTGATGAGATGACCATCGTTATCCCTGCAACGCGCGTCGTGCGTGGAGAGCAGCAGCCTCATTCACACAGTGGCCGCGTCCTGAAGATCTGAAGCTTGCCTTTGTTTAGATGAGATGGAGCCTCATCAATACTCATCGATGTTTGCACCACTCTGAGAAAGAGTGCGCACTCGAGCCAAGATGAAGTCAAGAGTCAAGGTACGTTGGCGGCAGCGCACGTGACGTCACTCTTCAACTTTCGTCTTCAAGAGCTTTTTGCTGCCAAAGGGTTTTCTATGGAAGCTGCGAACCTGGCAACCTTCGACTGCCGCATGGGCAGTTTCGCCACCCTGCAGGAGGCACATTCCGATGGGTGAGATGTACGTTTCCCATGATTTCGCATGTGTGTGTTTTTTTTCATTTGGGGTGGAGGGTGGTTTTTTAAAGATGCTGTGCGGAGCGCCCCGGCCGGGACGATGCATTTTTGCTCGAAGCCGGCTCGCTTTTTGGACGAGAATCGCTTCTTGGCTCGGAATCTTGCTGCTTTATCGCCGTAAAAAAGGCGGGGCCATTTCCCACAGCAACAGCTGGTGCCTGCTTGTGCCGGTCAGGCCATGTCTTTGGTGCTTTGGCGAGCCGCAGATTGCGGCGTGAATGGTGTGACTGACGCCGTGTATAAGTCGAAGATTCCAGGAGCAAGAAAGATAGTGGGTGGCTGGGCCGCCCATCAGTGTACTGAATGTATTGGTTGTTCCATGTTGTTCCTGTGGTCATGTCTATGATTGCTGGCTCTTGTTGCATGGAACAGGCAAGTCCGGAGGTGACAAGCTGCAGTGGCTGGCTCAGAATGGCCTTCTTCCCCTGGCGTCGCACCAAGCGTACGGCTCCTTCTTTGTCCGCTCTCTTCGGCCGCACGCCCTGCTCTCAGCATCAGTGGGCCCAGTAGAGAGCTGGGATGCTGCCAGACGCGGGTCAGATGCAAAGGTCCCCTCCCTCAGCTTGCTATCATGTGTTGGCTGAAGGGGTTTCAGCAAACTTTGTCCATACACCCGGCTGGGACAGGCTACTTGCTAGGCCTGAGCGGGCCTAACAGGGCCTAAGTGGGACCCATGGGCATACCCGAACTGAATGGCAACCCGGCGTGACCGTAACACTTTCGCAGCTACTGACTTGGTTTTGGACTCGTGGACTCATTAGGGCCCTTCAGCAGCAAACGTCATTTGTTTGTGAGCGCCCAAACCTGGTCTGGTAGGAAAATTGGTCTGGTAGGACTCCTCTCCGCTATGATTTGATATCGTTCAAGTTGAAAAAAGCATTGCTCACCCTCAGGCTACAGAAAGGACAGGACCAACTGCGACATTCCGCCAAAGATTACTGCAGTTAGCCTGGGTCATCGTTACCCATCAGCATCTTACAGCTTGCATATGCTTGCAATCTTGGGCGCTGTGCAAGTTTGGGTCCAAGGCCGAACTCTGCCTGGAAACACAGAACCTTTTTTCCATGGAACCTTTAAATGTTCAATAGCAGAACAAAGCCCAACAAAAGCATACAGGCGCCCTCCTCCATTCGACATATCTCGACACCTTGCTAGGTGATGACGTTGCGATGCAGATGTGCCGACCTTCGGCAGCTGGCTGTCCCTGCCTTCCCCTTGCCTACCCGGCACTCACACCCTGCAGACGTTCACGCCCTTTGCGCCCTCCCCTGATTGCCACGACAGTATACCACATGTGCGCCGCGAGCTTCGGGGGTGTCATGGTGCAGCACGTGCATTCTGAAAGGGGAACGTGCTTTCGACAAGACAGTTCATCTGTCTTGCTTTCGCTCATGGTTGAACCGGGTTTGGTACTTGATAGCTTGGGCAGAAACTGGACGAAGCATCCAACGAAGGCCAGGAAGTAGCGTCCATGTTGCCTCGTTTGCATTGTGTGACTTATGTGTCAACGACAAAGCGACTCACATGTTCGTTCAATGTTACTATGAGCCATGTGCCTCGGATAGTGTCGCAGCTTCCTTGGGACGATTGTGTTTGCCAATTATGGTTTGGATTGTTTGGTTTGTTTTGTCCAATGCAGCTTGGTAGCTGTTCATGGTTCATCGATGTGTTGGTAGTGCTCCGCTCGTTCTTATTGCACAGTTTTCCTGAGCTCTGCTTCTTTTTCATTGAAAGCGTGCATGATTCCCATTTCGACATGTTCGCAGCGGTGTTTTGGGTGGGCGATGGCCTTGATGTTTGCGGGCTGCTGGGGGATGTTCTGGACGCTTGCGGGACGCTTCCGCGCTTTTAATCTTTTGCTCAGCATCTGCTGTTTGTGTTTGGTTTACGGTGCTGATGTATCTACATCTGTCGACCTGAAGCCGCAGATCTGGGTTTTCCTTCCAGCAACCGAATATCTCCACCTCCCTCCACATGTTCCAATTCTTCCAAACGATTGCCAGAGTACCACCCAACGAGGAGACCCCAAAGCGATGGCTGCACACGCGGAGCATGTGCACCCGAAGCGGGGTTCAAACGCGGAAGGTAGATCCCCCCAGAATCATAGAACGGATGCACGCACAAATATACTAAATGACTAGCCCGTGTCCCTTTTTCCCCTACTATCTTCTGTCTTTGGCTAATTCACAGATCACGCGTTCATTTCATTCACTTGTATCTGTTGAGATTAGTTGACAGAAGAAAATAGTGTTTAAGGGGCGCATAAAAAGAGAATACAAAGAGCGCCCCGTTAAAAGCCCAAATTTCCAGTACAAATGCACGCGTCATAAATTCTTGTCATTTTATATTAGAAATTGAATGGTCGTTTGGTGAATTATAAGAGTGAAGATGCACCAGAGCCAGCGCTGTTGCATTTTCGTGACTTGGGTCGATGGAATTTCGCTCGCAGAAAGCCGCCGGGTCGTACACAGTAATATCGCACAAAATATATAGTCTGTTTAGCGTACCCCACAGCGTACCGTTGACGCATGTTGAAGCGCCATTCTTCGGGAAAAGCAGAAAACAGCTGCGCAGTTCCAAGGAGGGCGTGAACCCGAAGACAGGGGAGACCGTGCAGACCTTGCGGTCCAGCATCCAGGAGGTGCCTGAGGCTAATGTGCTGTGCCTGGCAGCGGCCGGGGAGCTCCTGCCACAAGGATCTGAATCTCTGGATCCTGCAGCTCCTGCTGTATAGTGTGTTTGGTGATGTTTGGTGGTCCAAGATCAGGAAGAGGCCTTGCAGTATCTTGCAGTCAATCAGGTCGAAAGTCGACCTAATGGACTTGGTGTACAGGTTGCAAGGCTTAGTGCCAGAAAAATGCTATGAACTCAATGAGCCGTCGAGGGTGCGTCTTCCATGCACATGAAAGCAGTTGTGTGCGCTTGCATGCGTTTCGACTGCACACAGTCGTTGCAATCTGAGGATGTCGCTGGCAAGAACACCTTGCGTCCTGGAGCTCTTTGGCAGGCTCCTCAAACTCCTAGTCCTATAGTCGAATGCACACATGCACTCCTGGGCTCTCGGAATTTTCGCCTTTGCCTTCTGGCCCAAAGCTACGGAAGGCCACAGGGTGGCAGTCAGCTGAAACAGAGCCGCCGGATAACTTCATCGCCCGCCATGGGTGACGGTACTCCCGCCATGGGCAAGCGCCACAAGAAGACGCACGGCTTGTGTCCTCGATGTGGGAAGCGCTCCTACCATCTACAAAGGATCGCCAGTGGGGCAAATTAATAGCTTTCATCCGAATAAGCTTCCATTCGAAGGCTTGCAGGCTCTTGGATTGCTTTGTGGGCGCTTGACTAGGCTAGCTGCGCTTTGGTTTGCAGGAAGAAGTGCGCGGCATGCGGCTACCCAGCAGCCAAGATCCGGTCGTACGAGTGGTCCAAGAAGTCCAAGCGCAGGCGAGCTCCTGGAACGGGTCGCATGAGGCGGGCGGCAGTGTATGACCAGATAAGAAAGTCAATACTTTTAAGGATCACCTTCTTTCAAAGCATGAGTAGAAGCATGCAAAAGCATGCAACTATACAGCCTTTCTGCATCAATTTGCTTCTGCTGCTTAGCTCCAAGCTTTTCGACATAATGTACTTGTGATGCTCTAGGGTGTTTCCGGTGTGCCTGGATCCGTCGGATCCATCAACCCCGCCAGTGGAGACCTACCGATCCCTTTGGCCCGTTAGGCCTTGATGGATGTTTGGGCCAAATACGGATGACGGAGCTGTAGCCAAAGAAGGCTCGATTCAGAGCCTTCATGCCTCCCTATTTTTCCTTGTGCTGGAGGTATGTCAAGCACGTGGCCCGACGATTCAAGAACGGCTTCCGCGAGGGAGGCGCGGCACCTGCAAGGAAGAAGAAGGCCGCGGAGAAGTGAGAGGCTGCCCAGGCCAGGCTTCCTCAGTGTAAAATCCAGATGGCTGCTATAGGACCTAGGATATGTTCGGATGGGTGGGGGCTGGGCTATCAGAAGATAGATGAGAACATGTCACGTTGTTGGGAGAAATTGTTGGCCTATGGAGCGCCCTGACAGGTCGGAGGATTCAGTTGCACAGCGGCTGACATCCAAAAAGGCGTTGGGGCGTGGCTCTTGCGCAATTTGCAGTTATGTCCACTACGTGGCTGCGAGCGCACCTCGCTGGTATAGTATCTGGTGCATCGTTGCGACTGTGCGCATTTGCCTGCCCAGGTCCGACTCCAAAGTCCACACAGGTGGCCTCAGATGTTGAGATACACAGGCTCCACTGCTTAAGCGTCATGGGGCTGTAGGGTATGGGTGTCTTTCTTCTTCTGCTTCTTCTTCTTTGGCTCCCTGACCCTTTTGGGCTTTATGTAACGGGAAGGTGGTTTTTATGCTCCAACTTTGCAGCATCAACTTCGTCACTTCTTGAAGGCATGAAGGCACGAACCAGCAGCGGGTCAGCTTGAACCTTCGTCGCGCCCAGGTGGTTGGGGACGGAACTGAGCCTGATGTTCTGGCACAAGGTCATAGAGGTATGTTAGCAATGCAGATCATGGGCCAGCGGCCTTCCCTTTGTCGCCATGGCCGCACCATGTGTCTCACAGAATGGCAGCCATCCTGATGACTTCAGTGTCTTGGCAGAGTTTTTGGACTTCGGAAACCAAAAGCCGAAAGCCTCGAAAATCCTCGAAACCTGAGCCCACCTCCAATACTAGATCATGAGAACGGTGACTGCAGCCTATCTCGCTCCCAATGGGTCGCCCATGTCCTGAACCAACTCGACGGAGATTTCAGTAGCCCGGCCTGGCTTTGTGTATCTTTTGCCACAACAGTTCGGCCCGGGCTCGGGAGGGCAAAGAGGATGCTGAAAAGGCCCAGATCAGACCTTGCCCTTGCAGCAGCAGACATCTTCGAAACGAAATTGCAGCGCAGCCCAGGGTCAATGCCCCGACTTGATATCTTAACATCGTCTTGACTCGAAAGTCGAAAGCAAAAAAAGGTTCCTTATGGTTCCTTTGGCCGGGGCAACATATTGACCGAAGCCACTCCCCACACGGCAGTCACAGGATGTCTCCAAAGTTCCATTTCCATCATTTCAACCAGTAATCTTTCCAAACGTCAGCAGTTTTTGCTTTTCCTCGCCTTGCCTAGGCAGTGCTGCAAATGCTGCCGGAGAAGATCAGACAGGTGGTGGCGCTTGGGGAGGAAGTGCCGAAGCGCCCGCCCAAAGCTGTCGCCTCCAACAAGCCGCCAGGGCCAACAAGGATCAAGAAGACGTGGACTTGGCCACCACCACTGGCAAGGGATGGATGGGCTCGGTTCGAGAACCATGAGCTGCCCGGAGATGAGCTTGTTTCCCTGAGGTTCCGGTCTCAACGCAATTGGAAGCCTTTCCTATTTCTGCCTTGTATCCTGATGTCTTTTGCCACAGACTCTCCTGTTCTCTGCAGCGAAACAGCACCTGAAATCCTGGATGCCAACGGGACGCGGATAAGGTGTGCGTTCGGAGATCCAGCACGGGACATATTCACACAGGACACGGTGTGCCCCGTTGTCTGCGGATTCAGCCCAGTACACTTCGTGCCACTTTGGTATGGGACGTTTGTTTTGACGATCATCTTCTGCTGGTGGCGAGGTGGGAGAATTGACCACGACAACTTCTATGCCAAAGGTGGGGTCAGAGGCCGACCGGCCTCAGCAGTGGCTCTGTTTCTGGATTGCTCCAGAGCGGGCTACTCGGATCGGCATCTGATCGTGCTCTTCGTGGTCTTCACTTTGTGTGCTGTGCACTCAGTACTGGTGCGCTGGGCATCACTGCTAGAAGAGGGCGGAATCAACAACGGATGCATCGGCTATGGAGATTGGTCCAGCTTGGACGACGTCTGCCACCAGGGGCCGTATTTGGAGCAAGCTTGGCCCGTCTTCCTGGTGATTTACTTCATGGTCTTCTTCGGAGCCCTCATGGATCAGGGTATCATTGGCGCACAGGAGCTTTCTGGCTGCAAGGAACCCAACGCGAAGCCCCGGGGCCCTAGTCCTGCCAGACATAGAAGGCCACAGATGTAGAATGTCGAACAATCACACACTCTCCGAGCGGTCCTAAATGGCAGTACCAACACGCATCTTTCATTGACTTGCCCACCTGGCTACTGTCTCCCAGTGATGTCCTCAGGTTGCGAAAGGTGCGGGGGCGGAAGCTCGCAGCGCGGAAGCGTCAAGATGTTTGGGAGAGGTTTTCTCGCCATCTATGCACCGTTGACTCGGCCGAGAAGGCGTCACCTTCTGATCAGGTCAGGGGGGCCTTATACCGCTTCGTGCAGCAGACCGTGCCCATGCCTATGCTTACTGCCTGCGAGCTCGTCGACAGCAAACTGAGCTTGGAGGATGAAGTCTACCTCTGGCCTGAAAGCGTGCCCGAGACCCATGAGAGAAGATTGTTCTCTTTCTCTGGGCGACGAACGCTATGACCCAAGCATTGCTTCCCGATGTTCTCTGTCACTAGTCACTTCCCACAGCCCCAGGCCTCCGGCTTCGTGTCGCTGGCTGCAGCGCTGCCGTTGGAGATTGAGCTTGGGGAGCCCGAGGACCCCATGTGTAGACTAGTACAAGTGGATACTGGGGGTGTTGTGAGGCCTGAATCAATGATTCGTTTTGGTAAACAGGCGTGGAAGGTTTGAGGTTTGAGGTTCGAGGAGCTTCTGTATTTCAGGGCCGGCATTGCAGGGCTTCACAATGTGGTGTGCGGCTTTTTGAACTGCTGAAGTGCCTTAGGGCGGCCAACAGAAGCAGGACACCGACAGGCAAAAAGGGCGGAGCATTATGTCCATTCTGTACCTCACATAACCTTTAACCGGTCGGGGACGGTTAGTTGGTCAGTGAGAGGGTCCGCCCGCCAGAACAATCGACCTCTCTAACCTCCCCCCCCCTGACCAAACCCCTCTCCGTTTGAGGTTTCGGCTTTAGGTTTTCAAGTTTGTACAATGGCAAAAGGCGTTATAGGGTTTCTAGTTACTAAGAACGGCCCTCAGTCCCGGCATGCAGCAACTTGCAGGTTCAAAGTGGTTGTCAGGTAATTACTGCCCGGGGGTCATAGTCAGTGTCAAGTTCCTGATACCTTTAAAGAGGCCCGTTAGAAGCATGCTGTGGCGAGGAACTTGGGCCGCGTGGCGCACGCAGAAGGCCTTCCGACAAGCGACTTTGGGAGGAGTTCTCCAAGCAGCTCGAGAGGACTGAGGCCTCCGGCGAAGCTTCTTCACAAGAGCAGGTGCGGAACGCTTTCTCCCAATTTGCACACTACGTCGTGCCGCAGTCGGTGGCACTCGCCCTAGTCGATGCCAACCTCGTGAGGGATGGCAGCAGGTACCGCTTCTCAGACAAGCTCGCGGGTTTCGTGCGGTTGCCCCCTGCCTGTACGGAGCAGCCACATATCCCCATCCTACATCGTCTGTTACATAGTTCCGCATCCCAGAGCCTTTGGGGTGCTGTGGTGGTATGTTTTGATCGTGTTCGTGTGTGGACCGTGCTTGCCTCTGCTCGCCCAAGGAGCGCTTCGATGCGTTCAGAGCAAGATTTCCTGGACAAATGGACGGACTGTGACCAAATCCAAATGGACCAGCTGACAGCTGCTGCAGTTAAGCTGAAGGCGCTGGTGCGACACCAGATGCATGTCACACGGGAGACCTCGAAACGCAGCAATTCTGGGCTTGCCAATGCAATGTTGTTCGCTTGCGATGCTTTCAAATTCCTCATGGGCTACGACGAGGCGGACGCGGAGGAGGAGGTGGCTCTTAACATGATTGATGACTTTGACCAGAAGTTGCAAGAGATCGAGTCAGAGGGCCCATGCAGTCCAAAATTCTCTGACAAGCTTGGGCTTGAGCAAGCCAAGCTGCAAGCCCCCGAAGGGCTTGGACGTATCTTGGAAAGCTCAGAAGCCGTCATTGTCAACATTTTCCGCTTGTACTGGTTCTGTCCTGTTATTCAGTCCTTCAAGGGCCGGGCTCCACCTGGAAGCACGAGCGATCTTGCCAAGGAGGGAAGTTGCTGTGGATGCTGTGGGTGGGTTCGTGCGCACATGATGCTTGGAGCGCTGTTTGGGCTGACAGGCTTTCTTCTGCTGAGCTTCTCAGTGCCGCAGGGTGATTCTTTCACCTTTGCCTATTTCTGGGTTAACAAGAACAATATGTGGGAGACACGGTGCAACGTGACGAGCTCCGTCACTGCTTTGAGCCCATGGTGCTCGGCCGACAGCGTCATAACAATGACACGCATGACGCTGTCCCCGGCGCTCCATGGAGTGCCAAGCACCAGTTTGGTATGGGTTTGCCTGGTCGTCAAAGCCATCATTTTCTGCATCTTGGGCGGCCTTTTCGGAATCACTATGTTCAAACCTGTAGAAGGGTTGAGGCAGGCCCAGCAGCCCATGCGCATCTTGCAAGTCGTACTCTTGCGCTGGTGCCAAAGCCAGAAGATCTCTACCTGGCAGCTGCAAGCTTGGAAGATGGCAAGGGCTTCCATCCTTCACAATGACGTGCGCCTCATCTTGGATCGCTTTGAGAACGTTGTCATTTTCACTTTGGTGGTCTGCATGCTTTTCATCACTGATGCGGTGGTCCAGTATGTCGTGTGGAGCAAGCCGCCGAACATAGGCGCGGTATACATCGTCCTCGTCTTTGCGCTTTCCACGATGCTTTGCATCAATGCGGCCATTGGCTGTCACCATGCCCAGCACGCACACTTGAAGACGTTGTGTGAGATGAAGGAGGAGGCAGGCTCATGCATGGCGAGTGTGCTGATTGATTTTGTTTCAGTTCGCTTTGTAAGTTGGCAGATTGGCATGTGTCCTTGCATTCTCGTCATCCCTGTAGCTGTCAAGCCCTAAACAAACCACGACCGAAACGAGCCCCAACCGATCTGATGCAAATGCATGAAGAACTCACGGAGAACTCTCGGAGCCCCAATGAGTGGTAGTGCGACTTCCTGGGAGCATGAACTTGGTGTTCTTCGGTTCGCCTAGACCTCCTTCATCCAAAGCGTGAGCCCGGACGGCGAATACTTCCGGAAGTTTGTGGACCTCATGGTCAGGAGGCTATCGTCCGGAGGTTCTGGGTGCCTTCAAAATCCCCGAATACAGAATGAAATCCTGAGACCACACAGTCGAAACAGGTCTAAACCCCACGCCCCCAAACCCCACGCCCCCTTGGTGGATCCAGAGGCGACTACCAGACGAAGCTTCTCTACATGCCTTTGAACCCTGTTCTCCAGAAATCGATTCTGGCTTACTTCGCGGCTTCCCTCGCAGCCATTGCCGGGAAACTCTTCTTCGGTGGGTGAGACCGCTACAGCCGCAAAGTGGCATAGAGGAGACGATGGTGCATGATGGGGATGTAGCCGCGCGAGCTCCCTTCGCCATGTTCTATTCGCGGGGTATGCCCGGGTGCATCGGGCTTCTGCACCTTGTGCTCGAGGTTCATTTTCCAGATTTCCATCAGTAGGGTAAGCGCGATACATGTGGAGGAGCTCGAGGCTAGGTTGTTCATGAGATGGGTCGGAACTGTTTGTTTGCCTTCAGAATGGTTTCACCACGTTTCACCTTTATTCGGCGCCGAAATTCAGATGCCCGCTGCTGAACTGAAGTAAAAGCTCCCTGAAGCCGCCTCATCAAGTCTGTATGTTTTGGCTCCAGCACGGAATTTGTGAGGCCGAAGCTCCGGGACTCGGCCTGTGGCCAAAATTGCAGATTCGAGGCCAGGTTTCTGAATCCTCCTGCAACCATTAGAAACAAGAAGCCTTACAGCACCAACCGCCAAAAATCGAACCCCAGGCCACAGACAGCGACATCTTACACTTAAGCTCATGCCTTTGAAGCCTTCTTGAAACAAGGCCTGGGCTGGGAGGAGGTGAGTGGAAGCCGAACTTTCGTGCTTACCGACGTCGTCTGCAAAGTTTCTGCACGCGTACTGCAGCTTCTGATGCAAGTATGCTTGTGCTGCAAGCATAGACATGGCATTTGATCACGTGGAGCCGTTGCTGGCCGCGACGGTGCAGTCAGAAGAGCCGACGTGTGGATGCACCCATTATGTATGTAAATGTTTATATTCATATGAAAACCCCCCAGGACCAACCGACCTCCCCATAAAGGCAGAACGGTGAGACTACCAAGTACATGAGGTGTCAGAGTGGAACTGGCCCCCCCGCCCTTCAACCAATCTGTGGAGTAGATTTGCATATTTGGGAGATATCAGATTGTGCCAAACTTTCTCCTTCAGAATTTAGAGACTTTCGTTAATGCACTTCCGGTTTTCGTAGACTACTGTTACAGTGACATGTTTAACCCGCGGGGGCTCATGCTTTTGTCCGCGCTCGGATTGCCGCTCTTCAGAGATAGCGCTGCAGAATTCTCCGGGTCCCGGACACTGGTAGTGCCCGGACTTGTTGTGTTTCTGTGTTGGGTGGAGCACCAGTGCCCACTGTTTTGTTTGTAAGGTTAAGGCCACCATAATGCCATAGTTCTTTGGCAGCTCCGCGTAAGCACACAAGATGTACGCATACACATCTACCTATCTATATCTATATATATATATACTTTTGTATGCATACCAAGTAATGATGTATTTATTTGTTTGGGCTTCAGGACTTTGGCTAACTTGAGCAATTGGTGGCCAATTGTTTCCGATGTTTTCTGTAGTTGATGTCAGTCACGTCGCTGCTGTTGTAAAAGGCAGTCTCGTCATTGCGCTGACCGGGCAAGTTGGACATGAACGTGATACCAGACGAAAGCGTGCCCTTAAGCAGGCAGGGTGTCCACTTTTTCGTGCCCGCTGCAGCCATCTCAAAGCATGGAAGGGCGTTCGAAAGACGGCATGTGCGCCATGTGTGGCTATAGCAATGTGAAACGTCACATGCATCAGCTGCAAGATTCTAGATGCTATGTGCACCATGAGAATCTCTTGCAACGGACAAGTGACTAGCGACATTCAGCTGTAGCGCAGCTACGTCGTGTCATTCTTTTATTTTGCAAAGGTACACAACACTAGTCAGTTGCCGTCCCGTGCCCGCGCCGCTGCATGAAGACTTGAGGCGCTTGGTGCACCCGCAACGAGTAGTTGGGACCACAGCCCGGATCTCAAGACGTGGGCACAGGGATGCGGACGGAGTGGCAAGATCGGTTGGTATATCAGGTATCTCCTTTTGGTATGCGCTGCCAGGTCCAATGAACGAGTTGCAAGCCAAGCTGCTGAAGCGGCGTAGTGTGGTGGAGGATGGGTGGCGAAGTCTTTGCACACATAAAGAAATATCAGAAGATAGTTGACAGGGCTTCTTTCGGTCGGACGGACTCCTGAGCTCAGTTGCAGGAACGTGGCGCAAACTATGAGAGTGTGCCGACAACTCGCAAAGAAGAGGAGGCTCTGACGCAGGCATCTCGACGGGACCTTTTTTGCAATATGTCGTCGCGTGTGTTCCCGGAGAAGGCATTGTGCCGGTGTGTTCATGCTGCGTCGTGCAAGACGCTTTGCAGGCAACGACAGTGAGCACTGCGGCAACGCCTCTCAAAACATGTTCAGGGCTTGGCAAGCCGTAAGCTAGGTGGCGATCCAATGCATGACACGTGGCTGCCAGAAAGAAGACGCTTGCGGCGTTCCACCTCGTAGACCATTCCTCCACCACCGATCGTTTTGAGGTGGAGCGGTCTTCAAGCGAACGCCAAGTCCTAGCAGTTCAGGCCTCAGCAATTTTGACTAAAGACCAGCAAAATGTGAGCCGCATGGCTTCTAGTTTTCTCGAATAGGCCCTGGTTCTGTGCTCCCAGCACAGGTGGTGACTTCCAGGCGGCTATTGATCGTCGGAGGGCCACCGTCGACGGTGATGGCCAGACCTTTGAGAGCACGCCCACCACAAAGACTGAGCGCACATGGCTGCAAGGGTTGAGTGTGCCAATCAGAAAACTGCGGCAGTCTTTTGGGGTTTCGCGAATTGCGGACCTACCTGTCCACTGGACGAAGGATGTTCGTTCTTATTGAGAAGCACCTGTCCTTATAGGGTCCTCAAGGGAGGGGGGGCTCATATGGGTGGGGAGTGTAAGGGAACCTTAGGTTACATGCCCCCCTTGAACCATTAAGGACCGGATGCATCCCCAGTTTGCCAAACTCCAACCGGAAGGACTGCGGACGTGACAAACTCGTCATCGACGCCTACCGTCACCAGCCCAGCAGGCAGACCTCGCTTAATGAAAGAGTGAATCAGCCAGCGATGGCTCTCTTCCTTCAGTACTTATAAATACGAGATTCTCATGTCACAGTTGCTGCTACCAAGTGCTCGGTGGACTCCGGCTTGCTGTTTCTGCAGGTATTAGGCCTTGCCACGGCACGGTGGATTTCAAGACACGAATTGCAGCGGCCTTGAGCACATGTGCTGAGATTGCTGAGCATGTGTTGCACTTGGAAGCAGCAGGACATGTCAGCACTCTTGGCACTGCTCGGGAAAGATGGTCATGGGCAGCCTTTGATAGAAGGTCCGGTCGAAACATTTGCTGTGAGGATCAGCAACGTGCGAGTGTGGATGGCGGCGCACAAACTTTTGTAAGCTCCTGAGTTCGAGCTTGGAAGAATAGGCGTGAGGTTATTCATGTTATATACAAATAGTGGGCATCAAGGAGAGCCGACCAACCCAGCACTGTGCTGACGCCGGAATGGCGGTGCCCATTGCTGGCCGCAGCTCTTCGGGCCAGGTACGCTGAACAGCGCAAAGCCATGGACAAAAGGGGGAAAGTAAATTGCAACAGTGCAGGTCTTTGAGAGCACGCCAGAGCAGACGACAGCCGACTGCGCACCGGCCTTGGACCTGTCCTGATCAAATCATAAGCTCTTGTTTCTGCGTGTGGCCCTATTGTGGGGTTCCAACGCTGCGGGAAAGCAGAGCCTGGCCGATGTGACGACGCACCCGCCCAGTCGCGTGGCACGGCTGCTGGGGGCGGACATGGCTGCGGGACTCAACAATGGCAGTAATAGAACCAGGGGCCTCGCCCGAAGTGACTTACGACACGCTCCTACCTATACGTCCCATGCGGCGCTTTGCGCTCCATAGGGCCAAATCGCCGAAGCTCCCGCGTCGGTCCTAAGCCGATTTTTTGGAGGCTTTTGGGCATTTCGCTCCATGTCACTTCGCTTGAGTTCAATTGTGAGCATTTCCTGTTTATTTTGGTGTAGAAATGGCACTCCGGGCTCGGTCCCGTGCGTGCTTTTTCAAGTGTAGTTAACTTTTTGTCAATTTTTTGTGGGTTTTTTCTTTGGGCGGGGGGGGGGGGGGGGCGTTGGGTCGTGTTCTCGCTGGCCGTTGTGGTCCGGTCTTACACTGCTTAGGGTCCCCCGGCAGACTTAGTCGTTTTTTGCAGATGTGTCGAGATCGCAGTGACGTCGCAGTGCATTGAAGTCTGCTGAACCCTCATGTCTGTCTGGTGAGGTTTCGAGTATTCGGAGTACCATGCAGCTACCGGCAGCACCGGAGTTGCAGCTGTCGCTTGCCTGCGTGTGTGATCTCCAGTATGAAGCAGCTCATGGTGCATTGGCATTGCTAGGAAGATGCTTTTGGAAGCCCGAGGCCAGAATCTCCTGTCGTGGAGCAGGAGCTGCAGGAGGTGCAGGAGGTGCAGGAGGTGCAAGAGGCGCAGGAGGTGCAAGAGGCGCAGGAGGTGCAGGAGGAGGAACTGGAGGAACTGGAGGAACTGGAGGAGGCCCAAGACTGACTCCCGTTATCGCGGGATACATCCTCACCCTTTGATGTGCAGGCCGGTGAGGACGAGGATGGCGATGTCTCCGATGGCTCTCCAATTCACGCGGCTGCCGTAAACAAGGCTCTGAAAATGGAGTTCACGTGTTGGGTTTCAGAGGCCCTCCCTTCTCTGTCTTTGGAGCCATTGTGGCCGAATGTTGCCCACCTGCCGCGCCTTTTACCATTTGGAGGAGCCCAAGACTACCCTCACTGCTTCTGAACGACGGGCAGGGCAGCTCAAAATCTGTGGGAGTTCATATGGCACATGCAGCACATCGCCTTGCACCATCCAGAATAGACATGAGAAATGCGGGCCAAAGCGGACTAAACATTCAAGGTCTTGTGGCTGGTGGGTCTGGTCCACCCGTTGCAAGACAAGTTCGAGAGTGACCAGTTTGCCATAGCCGGCTGCAGTCCGGCAGAGGCCCTCAGAGACTGTCTGCAGAACAGCTTAAGTTAGCCAAGCTTGTTCATATTGGAATTTAGGATATTTAGGCAACCCATCCTGCTCATCCTGGCGCTGACATGTGTTGCCACGACATGCGATCTTTAGGTCCGCCTGTGCCTCCGTGCCGATGGCCATAGGTGTCGCCTCGAGCTGGAAGGGTTCACTCCCCAGAACGCTTACGGGGAGCGAGTGGTCTTGGATTCCATGTGCAGTTTCCTGCTGAATCGATTCTTCTGCAGGCCTGAAGATGCCTCTGGCTCTTATGAGGCGCGGGTGTATGATGGAATGTATGCGGCGAAGTATGGTCATGAGTTCGTGCATCGTAGCTTTCCTGAGCAGGTTCGTACTGTAGCTTCCTGAACAGGTGAAACTCTTCGTGGGCAAGGGCTGGAAAAAGAAGGCCTTCAGGCAGCCTGGCTGAAAACTCTTTCACAAAATTGGCACTGGATTGGCGTGTGCGAGTTGGCATGCAGGACGTGGCAAGCAAGGAACGGTCTTTCTGAGGAGTTTGACACAGCACGGGCCTTTTGCATGCGCTTACAAGAAAATTCTCCAAGCCGCAAAATTGCCATGTCGACTTAGGACCTGTCTAACCGCAACTCAATCCTTTGCGGTGCCCCTTGGCTGACCTTGCATGGACTTTGTGGAGTAAGTTTTTGGACGAGCACAGTTTTCATGTGTTCGGCCCGAGGTTATTTTCAAGGACAAGGCCGCTCATGCTGAACACCTGCTGTCATGTCTAGATTCAACAGATACTTCCGGATGCTGCAGCTACCAGACGCAGGTTAGGATTAGTGCTGGCTTGGACCTTGACTTAAACGTTTGTTTCTGCAGGGGGTCAAACTCATACACGAGACCGATGCTCAGTGAGGCAGTGTGACGCCCTCGGCCACAGAACCATGCACAGGAGAATGCTGCCCAAGCATGTCTTCTCATGTCACCCTTTATTCTCACTTCGACGTCTCTGGGTGACATATGCAGCCCACCACCAAGGTCGCTGGGTTCTTGAGAAGTGCCTTTGTGCTCCCATTTTGGTGAGCACAGGTTCGGTCAACTCGGGACCCCGCCAAGCGAATTGGAACCGCAGAGTGCTTGACTTAAGTATTAAGGCAAGCAGACATGTGTGGTACATGTGTGGTACATGTGTGGTCGGTGTAGAAGCAGCTAGAATGCACCCGAGCTATGCACCGAGTAGTCTGCTGCCTTCCTACATTCCTCATATCTCCGAGTGATTGTCGCCGCAGTAGCCGGTGATTGGCTGCATGAAGGCATCCTGCTTGACTGAGGACTCGTTGGGGGTCCTGCAAGCTTTCTGGGCAATGCACATTTTCAGATGAATATTGAAGCAGTGCTAGTCGTAAGACCAGCTTGCAGGGCCACCAGACGCTGATAGTTATGTACAGGTGTGCCTTGCGTTTGTTGTAGCGTTTGTTGGCGGAGATGTCGAGCTGAATTTCGACGAAGAAGTATTGAGGCATAGGGGGAAAGCTGTATAGATGTGAAGCATTTTCGCCTCAGCAAGCAAATGTTTAGCGGGCGACGGCCCCTCGCGACACCGACGGCAGATCGACTGAACCATCAATCGGTTTCATGCATTTGTGTGCTTTCCTGTACGCCGGGAACATCTTTGAACTCTCAACACTGGGCGGTCAGTCCAAGAGTCGTCCACGCTTGGAAGCCGCCATGCCACATGCCACGTCTCGTGGAGCCAACGGCCTACGCAAAAGAACCAAGTGGCAGGGGCAACGTGAAGCAACAGATAGCGACAGTCTGTGACCTGTTCTGGCTTGGTCGCACCAGACTGCACCCTAATATGTCGGAGCATTGTTTCTCAGAAGATCTAGGCACTGGTTCAAGCAGCGGCCAGCATCAACGAAATGTCAGTACAGGCCCCAACTACAAGTAAAAGTCTTTTGCTAAGCCTCTTGCAGCCGGTTTTTTGTAAACGCATGAAGACGTGGGAGAGCCCGGACTGGGAGCAAATCGCACCCGGAGGATGGTGGCGGGTGCTTCGGCCGCTTTAAGTTTGGAACTTCGCTTGCTCTGGTGTGAGATATGGTGTGAGGCAGGGTGTGAGGTAGGGTGTGAGTTTGCACTGCTCTTGGCTTGAGGTCGTCCACCACCCGGCTGTCTACGCAATGGTCCGTCCCATCGAACCACTCCTACCAAACAACTCCGGCTACAACTACCCGCAGCCCGACAGAAAGCATTTCCGATGGCACACTCGGAATCCATCAGCCCTTGCTTCCGAGGAGGGTTGGTGCGAGTTTGCCCGGGCTTTCAGGCCCAACCCCCCGAGCATTGGCGCTGGCCCGGACTTTCAGGCCCAACCCCCCGAGCATCATGAGCATCAGCTGGCGCTGGCCCGGGCTTTCAAGCCCGACCCCCCGAGCATCATGAGCATCAGCCTTCGCTGGCCCGGGCTTTCAGGCCAAACCCACGAGCATCATGAGCATGAGCTGGCCCGGGCTTTCAGGCCCAAGCCTGGCGCTGGCCCGGACTTTCAGGCCCAAACCCCCTCAGCATCATGAGCTGGCGCTGGCCCGGGCTAACAACATACAACAGCAGGTACAGTGTACAGGCATCGTAGCAGCTGCAACTGCCAGAGTTCTTCCGAGGAATATGATGAAGCTATGTGCCGAATCGGGCCGTGACCACTTCTCGATCTGCTGCTGAGCTGCAGCTGCAGTGTTGTGGGGTTTAGATGCAAAAAGCTTATGAACAGCTTTCCAAGCCAAATTGCAGGCCTGCCCTTGAGGCGCGTCTGCTACAGCTGCAGAGTTACATGTGCACATGCATGTTTTGTCGATTCGTGACGCTCCGCATCCCCTAACATTGCTTGTCTAGAGTCTAGATCTTGCGATGCGGATCGCCGAGGCCAGCTCCACGTTGTGGGAGAGGCACGAGTTGTGTATCGAAGCCAAGCTCTCATTGGCCTCCAGCAGCAATGTGACACACGTCTTCTAGAGCACATGTATCGGCAGTGCGCCCGGTCCCGCGCGAGTGTCCGCGTGAGTATCCTACAGCTATCAGGGAGGAGCCAGACCCACAACGCAGTCTTGAGTTTAGGGAGCCCCCTCCAAAAGACGTCCGAACATGGTTAAAAAGAAAAAGCGTCTGCAATTGCACAACAAGGTCAGCCATATTCTTGTTGGGACGGTTGCACGTGAGCCACAAACAACCGTGGCTGCCATTACGGTTCGGTCGACCCTGAGACTCTGCTCGGCACCTGTGCTTCGTGCGACTCTTGCCTGACAGGTCCTGGCGATGACAGACGCAGCTGGGCCAGCAAATCTTGCTCGATCAATGCCTCCTCCATCCTGCATATGACAACACCAAGCACTTACAAAGCAGTTGATCAGTCGAGCTTTTCCGTGGGCGACTTCTGCTTAAGTGCCTACTGAGGAGTCGAGCTGGGATGAGGATGCAGCGGGGGTCGTGTTTGGGGCGTTCCACCTGCACATGCGGAGAAGCTTTGAGACACTGCGCCGTGGGTATATTTTAAACCATGCGGCAGGAGGAGAAATGCTTCTGGCTGCGTTTGCGCGACGAGGGCAACTTCGGAGAGCAGTGGCTGCGGCAGGAGAGACTTGAGTCTTGTTTTTAAGTAGCTGCACCTGATACACCTGATTTTTGCTTACCGGAGGCGAGGTGCAGAGGGAGTAGTCCTCGGCATGGACCTCCATAATGAATTGTCAGGATGGATATTCCCTGGGCCTTGGCATCTTCCTAGAGGAGTGACCCACATGCAGTCCAAGAAGTTTTGGCCTCAAATCAAAAAAGCCGCTCGCACACAGAAAGGGGTGCGAGTTCCTCCAACCGATGTCAGCAGGCCCTTCCCGCAGGTGCTCCCGGACCGGACGTGCGTGAGGCGGGCGCAGAGCAAGTCGCGCTGTGTTCCACGCGGACCTCATGCGAGACAGCGGTACCCCACACAGCAGTGCTTGTACTTGTACGTTTGCCGGTTGATTCCCCCCCATTTTTCTGCTAGATGAAGCTGGATGTCGCCTTGCCTCCCGTGCCTTCTTTGGACAGTGCAGGGGCACCGGAAGGCCCTGTCCGAGGCTGTGCTACCCGGAGTGAACAGCAGTGAATTTGGGGGCATCGGTAGACAGCAGTGGCTCGCCATGTCTGGCCATGACAGGTGCGTGGTGTGCGAAGTGCATTCAATCAACTGCGGGATGGTGAGCAAGGCGGTCTCGCTTTCTTAACTTGAAGCGGACAAGCAGCCTGCGTGTGCGTGCTTAGGATGAACGGACAGTGGCTGCTGTCTTGCAAAACGCGCAGGCCAAGCATGGCAGGAGGCTTGCTGCTCAGGGAAGGCTCAGAATCCCATGACATGAAGATGGCAGTTGTGGCAGTTCCGATTACTTTGATACACAAAGGTTCCTCGGCTCTCCATCACGGATGCGATGCTGGGTGGCTCGATTGCCTCTTTTTTGGAAGAACCCACAATGCACGTTGACCACGTGATATGTGGACGTGCCATCGCTCAGGGCAAGGCGTGCAGGAGGTCGACTCCGACGAGGTATCTCACACCGACACGTTGTTGGGCATGCTTTGGATCGAAGTGCATAGACGGTGGCCATGTTCATTCACACCTGGTGGCTTCCATATGCTGACATAGAGAATGTTCTTATGAATGCGTTGTTTGATTCGTAAGAACACTGTGTTAGAGCATCCTGTGTTCCCCACAAAACAAGCCCTGTGGGCGAGCTGGCTACATACCAGCAAGTCAACTTGCCGATGCAACTCCTTCTCCTTTTGCAACGTCAAGGCACGTCAAATACTCGACGGCCCTGCCATCTCCCATCTGCTACGCGAAGGCACGGAGTTACACCATGTTGCACCTTTAGTAGCAGACGTGTCGCCAGAGCACCAAGCTTATGGGTCGTAAAGTGCCCTTTTAACAGAAACGAGTGTTCGCAGCCTCCGCAAAAGTGTTGCTGGGACAATTTCTGCACGGGGCTGCTTGGCATTGGCACGTCAACGCCATCGCACACAAATTGCACTCCCATGCCAAGTGATCCGTGCCGAAGCATCGTGTGAGTCACCCAGTCTCACAGAGGGGTCACTCAGAAGATCTGGAGAAGCAGTGGCTGGGAAGTGAAAAACTCACAATGGGACCTACCTGGAATTGTCTTTTTGGAAGGCGCAGGAATGCAGGCCTTGGGGCAACTTTCGAGCTCACTGGCCTGCAGGTTTCCTGGTCATTCACGATGCCCTGGATGAAGTCTTTGCTTCGGAGTTTGCAGTGCCTGGCCGAGGGCTTTTGGTACAAGTACCATATGACATATCTGCAGGTAGGTCTGGGGGGGACAATTAACAGCTAGTGAAGCTAGTGAACAGCTGAGACTTCAGCCCATGTGACTTTGCATGTGCTTGAATGAAAACGTCTCTTTGGTGAGCAATCCTGGCTTGAAGATGTGCTTGCAGAGTGTCCATGCAAGTACCTCCCCGAAGGAACAGATGGCAAAGTTGGACAACGGCTGGAATCTACACGCGGCGCCTCAGGCAACACCAGGACATCCGGCACTTCACCATTGCTTGGTAGTATGTACTTAGTGTATTTGCAGCTGCGCTCGCTAAAGATGAGACGGGCTTCCAGAGGACAGCGAGGCGACCGCTTGCTTTGGATCGATGAGGAAATTGCCGTTGCTTCTCCCAGCACTACATGCCAAAAGTAGGTAGTAGCAGGTAAAGCGATAACCCCAAAGTCTTTTTGTCTTGTCAGATTCATAGAGCTGCAGGATGAGAACGCACGAAATTTAGTAACTCCGGACATCGCATGTGATCAGTCCAGAGAAGTACGTGGAAACAACGTCTCTCGCCTTTCTTACTCTGGTACTTTGCATCCGTCATCAAGTCAGGTTGCTCGTTATGGGTCGACGGCCGTGTCCAGGGCCATTAGGCTGCTGAAGGCACGGACTATGTGTGTTTGCTGTGGTGCTTCTCAAGGATGGCACTTCTCTTGGCCAGCCAGGCCTGACAGCTTGTTTTCGATCCGTTGTGCAGGGACTGGGAGCGGCGCTGAACCCAGCGCTAACGGCCCATCACTGGGCCAACAATGATGCTGGAAATCCGGCGCACGCGCCTCTCGCCTGAAGCTGGTCCCAACTGCCCCTACTATGAACTACGAGCCCCCCCCCCCCCCCCCCCTGCCCCCCACAAAAACAAATCAATGGGGTCCGGTCCTTGCTTGTATATATGTTTGACGCAGGAATTGCCGTACAGGGTTGTACGTAATAACAAAGAGGCATCAAAGCCAAGTGGAAACACATTTTTCTTTCCGACTTGGCTGCAGTTTCTACGGGCAGCTAGCCGTTACATTTTTGTCCACTGGGACTGGCATCGAATGCGAGACGTATGGGGAAGAATTTGCACGGAACCGCGCGATTCATTGCGGATTTACATGCTCCATGGACCTCAACCCTGCCAATACTTGTGGGGAAGAACTCGTCAAAAAAAAACGCTTCCTATCAGAAACACGACACCGGCCAATTCTCGGAAAAAGGGACACAGAAAACAAACCCAATTCCCAACTGTCACTTTGCAACCGGCTCACACCAACACCTCAGCCCTACACCCCAATAGATGCTACAAATTATATTCTCTACCTCAGAACCTGCAGCCCAGACCCCAAACGGTGCAGGGGCCCTTATCATGAAAGGCGTTTACTGTTCGCTCCTTGCCCGTGACTCGCCCTACCATGCGTGGTTTCTCGGTCTCCGGTTCTTGGTATTTGCAGGGGGAGGGGCTTGATAGTGGCCCTTGAAACCTGAAGACTGAACCGACCCTCAGTTCCCCCGAACCCCCAGTCTTGAACTTAAGCCAAGGGCTGGAGGCCCCCAGAACCTTGACAATCTCGCAACCCTAAGCCCGTCGACACGATGAGGGCCCCCTAATACTAAAAGCCCTTTCGAGGTCTTTTTTTGTGGGCGGAGGGGAGGGGAGGGGGGGTTGGGCGGGGCGAATGGTGCAGCAGGGGGGCGAGGAGGAGGGGGGGGCGGGGGAAGCAGTTGAACAGAATGGCATTGTCGAGCTGCCCCATGCACACGGCCTGTAAGAGGTGATGTCCGTTGCACAAAAGAAGTTCTGGCCACCCGCAACCGTAGGTAGGCTTTCGGGATTGCGAGTTGTGGTGGCTGCCAACGCATAGCTTCGTTTCGGGATGACAAAGAGGGAAAGCCCTTTCTTGCTCGATGAATAAGAAGTCAGCATCGCCCCAGGTTAAAACCTCGGCTGCCAGCTACGGACACGGCAGTACTCACTGTGTCACCCAAAGCACAACTCGCCTGCTACCCCTGTGATGGCGCCCACTATATCTGCCACCAGGACTGCTATCTGTTATCCGCTATCTGATGCTGCCGCACATGTCCTGCGAATTGCCAGGACAACAAATTCAGGCGGCGCTGCGTGCACCATGCGTGTTGCAGTTTTGCAGGGCCAGCCGAGCCACCGTGCCACGCGTGGATCCGTAGATTCGTAGGTCCAGGTTGCAGTGGATGATGGCCCTCTTTTAGCCGGCCCGTCTGCAGGCCCACCCACGGTACGCGATTGAATTCCCGAGAGCTCACTACGATCTTGCGCCAGCCTTGTCACAGCATCATGCTCGTGCCATAGTGGACGGCAGGAAGTCAGCAGTCAAACTCAGGTACGGGAACGCGACAGACTGGGACGTCTGCCGGGTGACTTGTCTTGCATTCCGAGTCGGAACCAAAGGGTTTAGTGAACGAGCTGCCCAGGATGGAGGGCAACTGAAACTGTACCTGCAGACAGAAGACTTGGAGTCTGCCCCGCCTTCTGATCATCCCTCTGTACACGTGGCTCCGACAGTTGGCACCCTGGCATCTTGGACCAGGCAATATTGACCGATCTTCAAGGGTTTTTTTTGAATCTATGCGTGTATGAATCGCACATGCAAGAGGGTTGTGTACAACATGAGCGTGGCCTGCTCTGGGAGCATGATGAGCTCTGCCGCTTTCGCCACTTTCGACATCTGTAAGACAGACAAACACGTAAACCTAATCGTCAAAGAGCTGTACAAGCAACACGGGTCTTTACGACCACTGCCCGCCCGTCAAACAAGTCCATGAACTTCGTGCACAGTTTGATTGGGTGCACCACCTGTCATGGTGTACCTTATGAAACCACATACGCCCCACGGAATATACACGAGAGGTCCAACATGTATTTGCACCATGGACCAAGCCATATCGAACGTTAAGTGCAAGTGTGGTGTGCGCTGCAGTATGCCGCAGTACTGTGTCCGAGGTTATCTTTTTCTCCAGACTTTGGCATGAAGTGCTGCCGGCATATCGTCCTCGGCGAGCGCTGACCATGTGGATATTGCGCCCGGAGGAAGAGGAGAGCTGGATGCCGAACGTGTTCTAGAGGAATCACCTGGTTACACCCGTTCTTCCAATGCCTCCTGCCACTGCAGTCACAAGATCACGGCCATGGTTCAGTTTCTGAACCACAACCTGCACAGCAGTCAAGAGCTGCTCGTACCACGAAGCAGCAGCACTTCCAGCACGTTGTTTCCTTCCTGCTGCTTGGGAAGTGGAGACCCCTCGGCGGGTTTGCAAGTTGGACAAGCCACCGGAAACAATTGTGCATGGCGTCCCGGAAACCTCCGGCATTGAATGCGGCCGCCGGGCAGATGGACATCTCACGTGCGATTGTGCAAGAGACGTGAGTTGGGGGGCAAGGAGCGATGTGGTGCTGCTTGCGTTCAAGGACTTGTCGGCAAGCTCCTTCATGAGCCGCATTGAGAAAGAAATGGAAATCGTTGGCCTCGTAAAGCTCAAAGCTGCTGGCCTTCGAGGCTCGAAGAGAGGCATTCAGAGTCACATGTTCATAAGTGTCAACATTTGTCGGGGAATCGCCCGACTTGACTCAGCTGATGGAGTGCCTAGTCTTATGATCAGCGGCGTCATCTTCGCAAAAGTTCGTTCGCATTGCTACCTCACAAAGCCAACGTTTAACCACACGGAGTATTCAATGCTTTCGCCGAAACTATAGACGAATCGAAGAGCACGGAAGGTCCTGGCTCAAGAAGCTCCCAGCTTCCAGGTTCCAGCTAGGCAGCTAGGCATTGGTGGGAGTTAAGCTCAAGCTTATTGCGCCAAGAAAGCTGGGTCACGTGGTTCACCCAGCACTATGATTGAATTCTACTTAGCCTCACCCTCCGCAACAGCTTCTTCAGACAAGTTGACACGGATTCGCAAGCAACTCAGAGACTGACAGACATCTCCAGCGGCACTGTGACCACTGCCTGTCCAGATCAGCGGCGTTCTCAGCTCTTTAAAGCATGGGCACGAACACATAAATCGACGTAATGCCTGGGTATTCCATTGCACAATTTGCGGGCCCCTGCTTCCAAGGACGTGGGACATGAGACTTTCCTGCATGGGGGGTCTTGAGTTGCCTTTCCTTGCAATCGTGATTAGGTTGAGGCTTTGCAGCATCGCGCAAGGGGGTTCTTCATCCTGTCCTAATTATGAAACTTCTGAGGCCAGTGTGGCACGACTCCCCATCCAGGCGTTTGGACATGGGGGACGGGCAGGGGATGCTTTCAAGGGCATGCTCTCACCAGGGTAACGTTTCACCGCAACTGCGGTGGTGCAGCCCGGAGCGTTTCCTGCACTGGAGGGACGTGAGTGATGGTGGGCGGTGTTGTAGCAACAGGTGTCATATGACTACTTGCAACATGAGCTTGTCGCAGTGGTGTTGTTTGCCAGGTCGCCGCCGCGTAGGAGGCGCTCCCCCTCCCGTGAAAGGCACATGGCTGCAACCCAAAAAATCCCAACACGCGAGAACTGATAACTAGTCACCCGTTGGCACTTGCAGCCTGAGCTAAAGCGCAGGCGCCGCTCACGGAGTGCTTTTCAGCGGCAGTCAGTGAGATTTGAACTTCGTGCTGGCTTTGGATGATTCGTGTGCTGCGAGTGTAGCTGCAAGATCCAAGGGATCCAGGTCGTACTCGCGAGACCGTCGGGGGGACGAAAGGCATGCTTGGTTCGTGAGTTAATGCCAGTGTGTGCTCGCATGTGTCGCAATGTGTAGCAGCTGGTGGGGCCCTGGACACCTGACCTTGAAGCGATGTGTAGCCTCACTTGGTGAGGCAACCCAGCGAGCAGAAGGAACTTGGATTCCGAGGCTTGCGGAGCAGGGGTAACATATGGGGTACAAATGGGTACCAACTTCAAGTTTTGCAACGGAGACCAGTTCCCGGCTTTGCTTTGTGCAGTTCTGCCTCTCAGGTGGGGTGGTCATTGGCAACCCGGCGGAGACCGAACCGCCTACCTACGAAGTGGAACAAGTTGGTCCAAAACTTTGCTTGGGAGAGCTCGATGATCTGTCCGGAGATGCCGAAACCCCGCACATAGTCTAGTATTGTCCAGCTGAGGTCGCAAGCACAACGGCGATCCCACATATCAGGCGCTGAGGTTGTTGGATCTTGTCTGCCTCGTTGCTTCCACGGGCGCGGGTCGCACGTCATGTGCAATGTTATGTTGGTTTTGCTTTCAGGCCGTGCTGAACATAAAAGGCCAGGGAGGGCGCTGCTGGCTTAGCTGGTTTAAGAAGAACAGTCGGGGGGGGGGGGGGGGGGGGGGTGGCAATGAATGTGCAGGCACCAAATCACATATGAGATCAAAGGTAGTCTAGTCGGCTGGTTGGCTGCGGGAGTTGCCCTATTTGGTGCAGTGTTGGATCTACCAAGGAATTCGATCCCTGAGAGCTCCGCCGAGGGCAAACGAGGAGTCACCCTCAAACAGTGAAGGTTGATCTGAAGTGTTGGCGTGACAGGCTCACAGCTTCACGTGGCTTACCTAGTTCCCGGTTCATGCTTTCAGTCTGCCCTGGTGCCCTATGCTGTGCCAGAGGACGACGCAAAAGATGACGGCGAGGAGATGAAGGATTGCTTCATGCACCTTGGCAGAAGAAGCAACCAAAATCAACCAGATGCTGGTTCTTCGTGTCAGCCAGGTGTACTGAGAGTTATCACTTTTTGCAGCAGGAAGCATGGCATGCCCGGTCTGCGAGAACTTCAACAAAAGCAGCGCCGCAGTCGAATCAGCCTTGGTCTGAGATCAGCGGGGCAGATTTCCAGTGTTTGTTAATGTTGTTAGTATCTTCATTACTCTTGTTTGGCCCGCAGGCTGACAAGCCAGCCATGTGCAGCTGTGGACGTGCACTTACGCAAGAATACAGCAGATTATTTCGGACTCTTCGGCCACCAGCCAGCTCCTGGCAGCAAGAACGAGATACTTGCCGTACTTGCTTTCAAACTCAGGACAGCGGCAGCGCGTGAGTTTGTTTCAAGCATGCACGAAGCAGCAAAGATAATTAAGCGACGGTGATGTCACAAGTCTTATGCCAACTCCACATTAAATGACTGCTTGCGGTTGGTACGACGTGTTGTTGCCAATTATGTGCCAACATTTCAGGCTCCAAGTACCAGGCTCCAGAGACTGCTGGCACGGCACGCGTAAAAGTCTTGCCTGCGCAGCGGGATTTTTTTTGTGGGGAGTGGGGTGACAAGCCTCCACTGCTGAGTGGAGCCACTCTCCTGACTATAGTGTTGCCATCGCATGCAGTGGCAGCAGTAGAAGCTCTTCAGTCCAGGGAGTCCAGGGCGTATGCATGGTATCTGCGGTGACGTGGGTAACAGGAACCTGGTCGTCATCATGCATTCCCAAGGCCATGGCCCATGTCCCACCACTGTATTGTAATAAGAATGCAAACAGCCTAGCACCCCAGAGCCCATCATGGAGCCGTGCCTTATGTGTACAAGGTGTGAAAGTCGATGCTCACCGCAAGCACAGCCTGGTCCATACCAGTAGCATACTCATCCCCCCTGCCCCATGCGCAACATTCTGGGATTAGACGGAGCCGCCAATTGCATCCTTCGATGCTGCTGCACTAGTTAGTCACCTTAGCCATTAAACAGGCTGCTACACTGTGTAGTAGACCGATGCAAGAGGGGTTGGGTTGCACACGGCGTTCATGAGCTCCCCCCATGCGTGTCATGGCTTGCCGTCTGAAGCTTCTTGCTATTCATTCCAGCAGGTAAACACGTGCCAATGGTTTCAATAGAACAAGGCGTGGAATAGCATACAAAAACCAGGACTCAGTTTGTCTGACAGAGTGAAGAATGCAGTGACACGGCAATAGTGCCCACAAAGCGCAACGGAGCACAGATCAAAGCACTGCTTCCAATTGGCACCCAGCAGCTTCATGTGGTTTGCCATCGTGTGGATGGTTGTTAGGTCGATGTGAGTGCAGCCCATGCTGGGTGAAGGTAGCAATGCCCAGCAATGGAGGGGTGGAGTCGATGGAGTGGACCTACCGCAGCTGCCATGCAAGAGAAAGAAGGGGAGCTGTCATTTCAGGCTGGATTGGGGTCACGCCCTTCAGAGCAAGAATGCGGGGGGACCAGGAGGGGTGGGGAGGGGGTGCCGGTGAATGAAGACCTTTTCCCCAACCCCGTGCGAACACACCGGCGGCTGCGGTTGGTTGCCTCTGGGCACCGTTGTGTGCAGCTGAGGGACCACTCCCTCGAGTCATCATCATTGTAAGCAGCAGCACCAGCAGCATTGTCCTTGTCAACCTCCATCTGCTGTTGCAGGTCGTTGATCATGTTGCACATGCGTTCTCAGCTTCGCATGCCAACTAAGCTAAGATCAATCGTGGAATTGTGTGCGCGCGCTTGTTTCTTTTATTTGTTATGTTTGTGTAGTTGTTTGTTGTGTTGTTTGTTGTGTTTGCTCTGTTTGCTTTGTTTGCTGTGTTTGCTTTGTTTGTTTTTTGTTTTGTTGATGTTAATTGTCTTGTTTGTTTTTCTTCGTTTTTGTTTGTTTGTGTTTGTTTCTGTTTGCTTGAATTTGTTTGCCGTTTGTGTGTTGACTGTGTGTGTGCGTGCGTGCGTGCGTGCGTGCGTGCGTGCGTGCGTGCGTGCGTGCGTGCGTGCGTGCGTGCGTGCGTGCGTGCGTGCGTGCGTGCGTGTGCGTGTGTGTGCGTGTGTGAGTGTTTGTTTGCTTCGTTTTTTGTAGTTGGCTTGTTTCGGTGTGTTTTGTGGTGTTCTTTGGTGGTGTTCTTCGGTGGTGTTCTTTGGTGGTGGCGGTGGTGGTGGCGGTGGTGGTGGTGGTGGCAGCGGCTGCGGCGGCGGCGGTGGTGGTGCTGGCGCTGGCGCTGGCCTTGGCATTGGTGTTGGCGTTGGTGTTGTGTGTTTGAGTTGCGTGTGCTTGTGTTTGTTTGTTTGTGTGCGTGTGTGTGTGTGTGTGTGTCAAGTATACTTTCGGAGCTGTTCACGACTGGCGCTGAGCGTTGCCACATGTCCTATGGACTAAGCAAAAACACCGATGTTTGCAGCAATAGACCTGGCCAGTCAAAACAATTCAAAACATGAGGACCTTAAACTTTGGACAACCTGGTTTGCTTTTCCATGCTTGTGGGTTTCTGGTTGTCACGTTTACAAATCGTGAAAGGTGTAGATTCAGTGCAGATGTATCCAAGGGATGAGGTTCTACAACTACAACATGGCCAACAGCTCCTCGTGTCTTGGCTTTGCACGGCATGGAGGGGCCCTAGGGCTTTCAGCACTAGTGAACTAGTTTTGAAGCTTAGCGCAGCAAGATATGCGCAAGAAGCTTTGTCAAGCCGTCAGGCTTCAGGCATTGCTCCCGAGGTTCGATGGCTTGCACCAACTGCAAGGCGGTAACGGCGGTGGCTTCGAAAGCTGGGTCCAGGAGCAACGACCGTGCCACGAGTGTTCTTGATGCGCGACCGTCGCAGATATTAGTAGACTCTCGAGGAGTTGGCGCGGACATGGGCAGTTGGTAAACTGAAAGTTGAAATGTCTGAAGCCGAAGAAAGGACATGGGACGTCGCACGCCGTCTCGCCCGCATTTGCCAGTGGAAGAGTCGAAAAAAGATCGGCAATAAACAGCCCTGAATGCAAACAGAAACCCCATCCCAACCAGCAAAACGGCGTCGCAGCCAAAATGGAGAGAAGTGGTGTAACAAAGATAAGCTTAATGGGAAATGCCGATAAAGGCTCGGAGCCTCTGTTCTTGCTTTCTGCGCACGAGAGCCGAGCATCCCCAACACACAGGTGAGAAGCCCAGAGTGCTTGAAGCTAAGGATGTCGGGTTCAGGCCCCTTGAAAAGGGCAAAAGTTCAGCATATTCATATACGATCTCCCCGTGACTTGCGGAGAGGATACTCGGTCTCAGGCCCTCGAAACTGTATCTTCTGAGTTGAGCAGTCCGCACCAGGCGGAAGCAACCTCTTACAGTACTCGTTTGCTCGTTCTGCCGAAGCTAGGGCAAGTCGGGCAATGGCCATGCGCAAGTGAAAGCGACTTAAGCTAGGAGCCTTTGGCAGATGGAAGTCCGGTGGATGTCGTTTTTGCGACGCTGTCGGAGACGAGGCAGAAGTTTGTGGATGGCAGTTTGCCAGCATGTTCTTTGTACATGTTTGTTGAAGTTTGCTGTCCTTGGCTTTTCCTTCAGAGGTTACAGCTGGGCCCGTGGGTTCGCGACTACCGGACGCAGCCCTCACACACCTTGGATGTAGCAACATATCAGAGTCCACGCTGCATCAAGACGACCTACACTTGCAAATGTTGCAGGCAGCATGCCTTGTTTCGTGTGTGTACGGAGCATTCGAGTTGAGCCGAGCATGTCATGTTTCAAGTTGCGAACCAGCCACTGAGGAACTCGTTAAAGGAAGCCGACAAGTCTCTTGGAGCATTTCATCAGGAAATGATGTTCTGTTTCGCTGACTGGAATGCAGTGATTCCGGTCCAAGGAAAAATGAGCTGCCCTGGACGAGCATTTTGGATGGAATGGCGGAGAAGTACAACGGCAACCTGAAAACGTTGCTTCTGCTGCTCGGCAATTCAGGAGAGACGGTGGACATCCACGTGATGCTGTCTTGTCGGCAGGTTCTCCAGATCTCGTTTCAGAAGGGATCCTGACTCCCTGCCTCTTTTTGGAAGGCTGGGTTTCACAACATGTTTAACATGTTGCCCTGTGCAACGGTTGCGGATGCAAAACGTCCTGGCAGAGGCTTCCGGACAAGCGAGTTGCTGGTCTGGTGGGGGCCACAGACATCCCAGACGGGTTAGGCATCAGATCGACTTGCACTGTGATATCATGTCGGGCTTCGTGAGGCCTTGCCCAATCCCAAGAAGGCCTTCATGGGCCGCAGCCTGCTGTCACGGCACCAAGAGTTGCACTTCTGCTTCGCTGGCGCCTTGAATTGCAAAGGAAGCCTGCGCATCGAAGCGGACCTATCCCTACTCTTACTCTTATTGTTATTACTACTATTTTCTATTATTATCAGTATTATTCTTATGTAGAAGACTCATCATGACCAATGGCCAAAAGGCCACCTGTCCGGCGAGGTGCACATTTTCCAATAAGCGACATAGCAGCTGCACTGGAAGACGCCAAGAAGGATAACCTAGAAGAGGCAAAGTTCCTCATGGCAAGGACCCCTCCTGTGTGCTTTAGTGGTGGTTTCCGATTCTTCTGGCTCTGCTGTACCTGGCTGCTGCACTGGGCATCTCCCTTTTGGGGCACCATGCAGGACGCTGCGGAAGGTGTTGCGGAAAGCACACCGCGCGGGACTGCTGGATGACGGCACGCTTCTCATTCTCCAAGGCTTGAGTGCATCGTGCGAAGAGCAGCATGTCAAGTGAAGTTTAAGATTCAAAAGCCGACGCCTCAAAAAACATACTTAGCTGCTCCGGGACAGGCGACCTCAACAGCAGAACCGTTCTTCCTTCCGCGGGCCACCAGCTGGACGTGCTAAGCGAAGTATTGGCGGACAAGAGCCTTCAGGACGGGACGTATGTCATGGGCCATAGCAAGGCCGTAGACAACAGCAAGCGCTTGTGAATCCCGGCAACAAAGGCTGCAATCCAAGCTGGGATGCCCTTCTTGGAATCTTGGCTTCTTTTTCTTCCTTGTTAAGTCCCGGCGTGGGTATGGGCGCCATCAGCGCGTTTGGCCTTACATAATGTTGTCGGCCAAGGACGGGGAATGGTTTGAACCTTCAACATCGGACCCTTTGGAGCTACCAGCGACTTTGCCTATTTGCAGGATCTGTCATAGATTAGATTGGCACGGACAATTCATTGAACTTTGGGGCAGCGCGTCGCTGTAAGGTAACATACAAATTTTCATTTGATGTGGGCCCAGATCTCAGACTGTTTGTGTTGGTGCCTTGCTGCTGTTCCAAACGGAACTGTCGCTGACATCGGCTGCTAACTGCTCGATGGTTTTAGTGAAAAGTCCGTGGTTCAAGGGGCCTACAGTGGCCCGCATGTAAGTTGTAAGAGTGACGGAGAGTGGCACGCGCTTCCAAGCCATTCAAGCTCCAGGTGTCGTAGGTCCGCCGACTATCCCCAAAGGGCCTGCCAATCAAGCGGTAATTGTTGCAATTTGGAGGAGGCTATGCTAGTGCCATGCTATGCAATGCTATGCTATGCCCCCACCGCCCAATTCTTCCACGAACACAGACGAATCTAACAGTAGCAGCTCCTTTCCCTTGCTGCAGGAATTGTCGCAAGCAAGGCCAAAACTTCACAGCATGTGTTTTCTGACATGGCCTGAGGTGAGACATTCCTGAAGGGTGACAGTACCTCAACCGCAAGCTCCATCAGAGTCGCCATGCGACTCTGAGCGTTCCTGAACCGAGGCTCATTGACCCTGAAGTCTGTGCTCGACGCTGCGAGCGCCGTGGAGCTCAGCCCGAAGAGCCCTAGCTCTGAGCGCTACCACGCGCGCCCTGCCTTGGAATTGGAGCTCTATCTCTGGACGTGCATTGTTTTTCAAGATTTGTCCTGTCCGCTTTGGGTGCAAGCACCCGTGCCAAAACGACTCGAGGACGCTGTGCAGCTTGTCCAGCCCTGAGCTGTGGTGTCAGCGCATGACACTGCTGCATGCGATGCTACAGAGCGAAGTGCTGCCATGCCCTGAGGCCAGCACAGCGGCTGAAGGATTGGGGCTCCTTTGTGGCATTATGTCATACGTACGGCTTGCAGCAGATCTCATGAGTTTCCATGCCTCCACATGTTCATGCATTCTAGCATCGCCGATGGAAGCAAAGGCTTGGATTTCAAAGAGGGTAGTTTCCGCCCATTTCGCAGCGCAGCCGCAATTCAGAACACGTATTCGCAGGTATTCGGTGCTCTTGCATCCCTGCAATTGCAGGCTTTCCAGCATCTGCCGATCGATTGCTGGTATGGGCCCCCAGGAAACTCGCAAGGCCACCTGGCTATGTTTGGGCAAAGCAGTCAGATGTGTTGCAACATTGCAGAAGGATGTTTCATGAAGTGGCTTAGTGAAAGGAACTTGTTATTCCAGGCCAGTAGGTTCGCTTGCAGCCATGCTGCTCATAAGTATACATGGTTGTACCGAGCAACTCCGGCAAACACTGGAGGCGGCTTCGATGGCACTTTCCCAAAGGAGGCTACGAGGCCGGTGGCGCAAAACAGACCTGCACACAGGCACAATGTTGAGGAGCATGATTTGCAGGCGAGCCTAAGCTGCGGGCATGCCCTTGATGGAAGGAACTAAGCATTCACGCTGTGAGTTTTACATGCACGTGGTGCTTCACTTAACTTGAAAGGTTGCTTGTACCAGGTGCTCCACACCCAAGGGGGCAGCGACCACCGTCCGGTTATCCTCGAGGCGCAAAGCTGCAGATGCAGCAGCCAACAGCTTGTCCCAAGTCATTGAACGCACATGCCACATGCAACCGATGCAGCCCAGGCCACCTTGACAGTGGCGTCTTCGATGCCAGAGGCTTCGGAGACATCCTTGCCGGATCCGTCCTTGCTTGAGCCGTCGGCGCAGCTGGTTGAGGCTAGAGCTCCCCTTTGTACTTGTAACATCCCTCGCGGATGTGCAAGCTGCCATCACCATGGCTTCCTGCACTTTTAGCCTCAGGCAATCACCCAGGACGATGCCGAAGACAGTGATTCGGGCGACTTGGGCTCGATGGCAGTCCCCTTGACAGCTTCACTGTGATTGTGGCAATGTTGGAGTCGATGTCGACTTGGGTTGTCATTTTTCCGTCATAAGAACATGCTGTTGCCAACGGCTTGCGGCCTTGGCAGCGCCCGAGCCGCTTTGAAAACACCAGGCGAGTCTCCGGGACTGCTCGGCTCGTTGGCCATGCCGCTCAGGAGTCGGAGAGTGTTTTTCCACAATCAGGGACGGGGAATGCTACAATACGTGCCAGACCATGCCCGAATCCAGAAACATGACCATGTCCTATCCACTTAGCCAGAAGGCAGCATTTGCCGGGGTTGATCGCAGCTGGTTGCGGCCTTCAGAGGTTGCCGGGCAAGAGCGGGGGGACCGACTCGACGAGGGACTCAAAGCATTAAAGTTGGGGTAGTGTGGCAGTCTCACGACACCTTGAAGCCCAGGAGCCTTGGCGGATACGCACGGTAGGGGTTTGCCACCGGCTTGCTGAGACAGGCCGGAGAGTTCTCTACCGGGCAGCGGGTCCCTGGATTCTACTGGTATGACAGAGGACAGAGTGTTTAGCAATCTTTAACGTGCATCTGAGAGCTTACGGAGCAGGGGGGCTGCCAGGTCACTGACGGTAAGCTTCAACTGCGCTTTCGGCCAAGCCAAATCTATCTTATGCCGCACTTTTCCAGGCATCGCAACATGGGTTGCCAAAGCATGCTTCAGGTTTCACCCCAAGGGCCGAGAACCTCCAAACGGTGGCTGTAACAAAAGGTTCCATGTCCTACGCTGCCTGTCCTGGGTCCTTGCAAGTGATGCCATGGCACTGAGCAGTGCTTTACCTGTACCTGCTCACGGCATTTGTGCTTGAAGCCGGGAGGCAATACCATGCGCTACATGGCGCCACAAGGCATAATCGCTTCTTTACACATGGGGTCCCCTCCAGCATCCCTGCTCACCCCACATAATCAGAATTCTTCAGTTTTCAAGCAGCACACCATGGCGAACCATTCTAAAGCTCTTGAAGAGCTCCATAGATTCCTGTCGACAGCATGGCAGTGCATTCTGTGTATTGAAGCACTAGGGCCATTCATAGATTTATTGGTTCGCGCTTGCCCTAGAATCCTAGCGGCCTAGCGAATGGCCGTCAGCGGGTACGCATCGCAGGCCCTTGAGCCCTTGACAGCGTGCACTCTGCAGTTCCAGTCCGCTATGTCTGCTGCTTGTACTGCGCCGTCTTGCGCGGAGCAGGGAAGGGATGGCCATCTTTTGCCTACCCTCTCCATGCTTTTTCTGACAGGATGTCGAATTGGCTGTGGGACGGAAGGCCTGGCTGCAGAGGTTTTTAAGTTAGTCGTATCTTGCCGACATAGCGCGCAATTATTTTAAGAAGCTCCGCCCCTGAAGCACCCCCCAAAGCCCGGAGATTGTGCAAGTACTGGGGGTGGGGGGGCCTTGCTTGTTTGGAATGTTACGCCTGCAAATGATGCAGAATGCGGCAACATGCATAGAATCAGAAGGTTGAGCTTATTTGCTGCCAGGTCTCGGTGGTAGGCTACTCGGCCACCGTGCGATTCGTGGGTGAGGCACACTTCGCTCCGGGTGAGTGGATCGGTGTCGAGCTTGAACCTGGCCAGCCTGCCCTGAGTTGTGCGATGTCATGGGAACTTTGTTTCGAGAGGGCCCTTACGGGTAAACAGCGCTTTGCTGTCAGTCGCCGTGTTCTCGCCGTGTTCGGGTTGCCTCTGCGGCCTCCAGTTTTGATCTCTGCCAGCCGTCGGCAAGAACGACGGCGCAGTTCAGAACAGAAGGCTCAGAGCGAAGCTTGGAGTTGCTTGTGGAGTTGCTGGTGTCGACCTTTCAACCCCTTTCAACCTTTCGAGGTACTTCACCTGCGAGCCCAATCACGGCCTCTTTGTCCGTCGGAGTGTGGTGCCGGGGTCCCATCGCAATGGGCAGGGAAGTTTGTCCAGAGCGTCACAAGCAAATTCGTCTACGATCTCTTGCTTTCAAGACTCGTCATGCTCGAGTCGGCTGTGTGAGACCACTGTTGTACATGCATTGCGCGGCAGGCAGCCCATCCCAGATGGTGATCCACCAAGTCCTAGCAAGGCGAGGGTCCTTTTCGCAGGCCCGAGCGGCGCAGTGCTGGAAGTGTGACAGTGGCCGCTTTGTCGACCCATTCGGCATGATCTACTGTAGCAGGTGCTGGTCCTGAGATCTGTGAGGCACCAGTCAATGGCCAAGTTTTGGGGTGAGCTTGGGCAGGTGGAAGCGTAGCTTGCGTCGTGACCGTGCAGCACGTGTAAATGCACGTAGGCCGCATATGAGTCTCAGGCAAACAGCGATGTTGAAGGCCAGATGCCGGGCAAGTAACGCGTACAGCATATTTTGACATGCCATGTCGTTGTTTTCGGTATGCCGTGCTGGTGCTTGGAAACCACAAGGCATGGCAACAGACAGTGTCCTGCGCTTTCAGGTGGTGACTCCCACAGTGAGGATGACGTGGACGAGGCTGAGTACACATGTTCCCGATGTTGCCCAGCCTACGCGCAATCTTGGAACACCATCGCAGACGACCGCAGGAATATCCCATGCCTATGCATTGTTGCCTTGTCAAAAAGCCAGCTGCGCCATTCTGGGATGGGCACGTGACGGCACGTGTGCCTCACCTCCGGCTCGAGGTGGCGATGCTGCCCGTACAAAGCATGCGCCGCAAGGGCGTGTCGGCGGAAGCTCGTGGTGAGGAGGTCTGGCCTAATTTGATTCTTTGAAATGAAGCATGTTGCAGTCACTGGACGCCTGCCAAAGGGCATTCCCGTTCCTGCAAAAAGTAGACTCAGTAGACTGGGAGGACGACTGGGTGCCGCCTGTCCATGAGAAGAGCTTGGAGGAGAAGCAGCAGCTCAAAGAAGCCACATGGATGCACGTGTTTTATAAAACACTATCATACGTCGTATTACGCCGTATTACGCAGTATTACGTAGTATTACGTAGTAGTACGTAGTATTACGTAGTACACCCAGCGAAGCTACACAGTAGTCCTCGTGGCAGTGAGGTCATCGACAACTCGCGTGACAGCGACTGGGCGGTAATTGAAAATGTTATCTACAGAGCGTTGTTCTGCACATGTCCCTGGTGACGGTAACTGCTGGGTGTCGAGGTAAGCTGCGAATGATGCGCGGTGCCTAGCAACAAAGCATCGTAGCACGTTGCCCTTCCAGAGGTACCCATAAGCCTCAGACAGACAAAGCCACGTGGTGACAATTGCGGCTGTGTCAGCTGTGCTCATTAGAGGTGCTGAGTGAGAGCCGCGAGCGCCCTCATTTGTGTTGGACAGCTACGCTGAGGTTTGGGAATCTTTCTGCCAAAGGTTTGGAGCGGGTCGTTGAGGTGCCAAGGGCTGTGGCTAAGGATTCCAAGACACACTCTTGAGTGAGTGGTTAACCTTAGACCTTTCTCTTTCGTTCTCTCTTTGTCCATGTTTCTTTCTTGTACGTACATCGAGTATGGATGTACCATCAGTGCTGCTGCTGCAAATCCTGCTTGTGGGCCGCATGGGGCGGCGGTTGAGCGATGTGAGTGCTGTCGATAGGAGTTGGGGCGGATCAGATTGCGATGAAGAGTCTCATTGTCCATCATTGCCCATCCACGTGAGGCCATGTTCAAGAAGTCCGTGGGAAATGGGGAGACAATCATCAGGCGCTGAAATCTGGATGGCACGCTTCTGCAGCAAGCGTCATTGGGCCGAAGTTTGGGTTGTGGTTTCAGAGCAGCGGTGGGAGAGTTCAAAAGTTGCAGTTTGATCCGCAAACTCGGCTTGGCGTGAAGGTCGGCGGCAAGATTAAAAGAATGATGTGATGCGCTTGACATGAACATGCCAGGTTTGGTGATGAAGGAGACAACTTCTACATCGCTCCGACCCTGGTTATTTCATCTCTGCAGTTGCATATCTAGCATGGATTTGCTGGGGCCATGGAGAGACTGAACTGGATCGTACTGCAGCAACCGCCAGGTCAAGCGTGGCAAGTTTGACATCCATGCGTACCGCCGCATTCAGCAGGCAGTGGGTTGAAAGCTCAAGCATGGTGGAAAAAGGAAAAGGCAATGCCCAGTGTTTTGATTCGGCTCGGCTGTCAGCGGCTAAAAGCAGCAGACAAGCCCTAAGCCCCACGTAAAACGAGAGTGTGCGCAGGACCATATTTGTGTGTACACTGTGATCTAGTGGAGGATTCCTACAGAGGTTGCCGAGCTATTCCAGGATAGCATAGCAGACGAGAAGCTCATCAGCAAACGATGCTGAACCTGCTGCCTTCCGATGCAGTCGCGGAGATTCCACACATGTGCATCAGCAACATGCTGCAATGCTACAGCTGCGCTGCAGCTTCGCTGCAGCTTCAGCTCATGTATCTGGAGCTGTCGGATTTTGCAGGCCGAGGCTGAGCCTGAAAGCTCGGCAGAGTTCGTAAAGGCACAGACCTCAGGGCCTAAAGGTGAGTCAGTGAGATGCCATAGTGTGTACAGTGCTGTCGTAGCTGCTGTGTAGCTTGATGTGTAGCTTGATGTGGCAAGAAGGGCAACGGCAAAAGGATGAAATCTTCAGGCGAAGCAAAAAGTCAGACTTAGTGGAGGAGCCTGGTATTGCAACTTGAAATCATTAGGCGCAGGGCTGCTTCATGCAGATACGCCGGCAGGTCCAGGGTTCTAGGACTTCTGAGAGCACAGGACCACTACAGGACCCCAATTTACTGGGATGCCAATTCAGAACAGTATTCTAGCAGTCAAAAGCTGCCAGAAATTTGTTTTGGTTGTCAAGAGATCTTCTTTGGTCTGTTAACAGGTGTTCTTTTAAAGGGGCTTTCCGCCATTGGTCGTGGCGCAAAGTGGTCAAATGTGTCCGAGGTCTTCGAAGCAGCGCCCGGCTTTGCTTTCGGTGAGGCTGCCCTGCTCTACAATGCCTGGGCCTCAGAGTCCGATGTGAGAGCATGGCGTGGAGAGACTACGGGAGGTTTCAGAGGCCCCAACGCAGAGAATTTATTTAAAAAAGTACTTGGTTCAGTTTTTTCGGGTGACTTCAGGCTCGTTTTGGGCCATGTAAGGAAGGTTCACACCTGTTGTTGAGAAACCTGTTTGGAAATGGGCATGGTCTCATGAATGTTGTGCGTGGTGCGATGTTTTCCGGTGGTTTCAGGGCAAGGCAAGCAAGCATCCTGAACTGTATCGAACAGGACTGGTAACAGATCGTGAAGAGCTCGCCCCGCATGGATTTCCCCATGCCCATTAACTGCTTGAAGCGGCTGACGGTGGAGCTGGCGCCCTGAGCGGATGTTGAAGAGTACGTGATGGCGACCAGAACCTGCGACGGCCAGGAGATGTTCTTTGACGTGCCCCTGCGACTTCAACTGGGTGGGTCATCTCGTGTTAGGGATTTTCGGAACTAGGGGTCTAGGTTGAAGGGGCCTTACACGGAGCCCGATGCAAAAAGTTGAATTTGAATGGGGAGTAGAGCCAAATTAAACCAACCGATCCGAAAGTGCGCAAGCCGTAACTAGCTCGTGCACATGCTCACTGCCAGCATTTTAAGTTAATCAGGGACCGATATGGTGCAGCTACGTGTAACTGGATTGAGTAGTACTGTCATGTAAGGTCAAGCGATATCTTGTGGACCCAGATTAACATGAACAGTTTGAAGAGCGAATTGTTGTCCCACCACAAGTACCTTGTGCCGTGTTCCTACTAAGAAGCGTGGCCAAACTTGCAGCAATCTTCTCTTTTCTGTTCCGTTCAGTACTCCGTACTGCTTCCTAGATGCGATACACACAGTTTCAATATTGCCATCCACGGGATCGGCTCTACAGCAGGTGCCGTTCATATTCCCCTCAGTCCGCCTATGAAACTTGCCAAGTTCCCAAAACGAGATAGACAAAGTAGGCTGCTGCATCCACTGGAATCAGTGGGTTATGTAACGTTAGGTCCGTTAGGCATACACCCCGTAGGTCACGGAGCCCAGGCCCCGCGGTCGGCGACCATTACAGCGAGCGAGGACTGCAGACGACCGCAAAAAAACATGTGCTCTCAGGCTCAGCTGGCTTTGCGACACTTCTTAGGCTGGCATGTGGACAGCTGGAAGCTGCGGGCTGTGCGTAAGCTGCAGAAGCAAGCGAAACAAACCGCGCACAAATGCATGCTCATGCGTGTGCACGTGTCTATTGGAGGACTCTGAAGTGTGGTGCCTTGAGAGACGAGCTTTTCGTGAGCTTGTCATCAGGCAGGCCTTCCTGAGATCATATGCTCGACTTTGGATGACCAGCTGACCTGGCACATCTTCATGCGCGTGTCTGCAGTAAGAAAGCGTTGAGGTCTTCCTAGCCGCATCTCCATGCACAAGCATGCTGCCATTTTCTGCTAGGAAAGCCTGAGGTGTATTTTGTCACATTGCGCATCTCTTGAAACCCTCAAATTGCCCACAGTCAAAACCCCTACGTGGACGTTAGCTGGCAGGGCTTCCGAACAGAAGTTCAAGGAGTGCCCAACATGTGATTCCCATCTACTATCCGCTACCAGCAAGGGCCAGAGAAAGTACGCCACTAGTTGTGGAGATTGCGCTGAGTGTCGTTGAAACGCTTACCCTTGAACTCGGGCCGTTGATCGCTACTTGTCTTGACTTCTTGGTGTGTGCTGTGGACAGGTGGCTGTGTCCGAGTCCGTTGCTTCGTTCATCTTCGTTCCATGTCATGAGCTCGTCAAGCTCATCTCCCCGCGCAGAGGTATTCGGAGTTCCTGAAGCGATGCGACGTTTTGCAAGAGTTGGACGCGGACAGCACCGACTGAAGTCCCACCTTGGGGGTTGTGTCGACGTGGCATACTAATAATAGTTCGCTCATGTGGCAGGTGTGGTTTTAAGTTTGCCAATGAGTACTGCAAAACGTGCTACAAAGACCATCCAATAGACGATGTGTCACACACTGTCACGTTGGCCGTTCTATCATAGCCAAGCAGGTTAATCTTGCAGTGTGCTGTGTGAAGTACGTGAGCTTGACTATATTGGAGAATCCATCGCCACCGGATTCATAGAAGAACTGGTGAGGTTCATGGAGGCTCCCCAGTAGTTGCCGAGCTCCCGAGATTCGGGGCATTCGGCGGCCACAATCCAGGGTCCGGTGAAGTGTGGTGTTCAATGTGGGCACGACTGGGCATTTCTGAGCGAGGCTAAGCTGGTTACTCGTATGTTCCCATCTCCGCGGCAGGAACAGATTGCAACTTTGGCTGAGGTGGGCAGCCATGTAGACTTCAAGAGAGGCTTGCCAGACAGGCTTTTGCAACTGCCTTGCTTGGTATGCCCCCGGACGGAGTCACACCTCAGGTCGTTGACGAGGAGGATTTCTCTGCGGAGGAGGCTAAAGCAGTATCTGCACGTCAAAGACAGGATGTGCTACTGTGTGGAAGCTGGTGCAAACCCGACACCAGGTTCACAGGTTGCCGCATTCTCTCGTAGAGTGGTAGCAATTCCTCAAAGGCGAGCCCTGTGCGCAGGTCATAATTCAGCAGGGAGTGCAGAGCTTAGCAGTCGATCAAGCCGGTAAGGCCACAGAGGGCCGTGCTGAAGCTCGCATATTCCGACAGAATCATCTGCCAACCACATTTTCAGATGTTTCATTTGATGCTCTACAGAGGATCAACTGCAAGGATCAGTCAAGGATCCGCAAAAAGCTCGACTCAAGCCCATCCCAGGGTCGCGACAGCAACATGTTCATCATCCTGCACGGCCAAGTGGCAAGCCAAGACCTGTGGTATGCTGTCAAACTGGACATGCATTGGTGCACACTTATCCCTGACACCGGGCAAGATAACTTGCAGATATCATGATACTGTATGATACAGTGCTGGTCTCCGAATACGGATCCCGGTCGCCTCGAGGCTGTCGCGTGCATCGCTGGCGACAAGGGCGAGGTTCAGGCTCTCCATGGCATGCGTACCGTCAGGAAAAGGTCAGCAGAGACAGCAGGAACAGGGAACTGCGGTCAAATTGGCAGGTCAAGACCTACAGCAAGGGCGACTTCTTCGGAGAGATTGCACTTCTGCTGGGAGAGCCCAGGAAGGCAGCCCGGCTTTGTAGGAGAGTGGCACGGCGGATGCACTTGCACAGAGGCCAGCGTCTACGCCAAAGGAAATGTCACCTGCCTTGTAATCACAAAGCAAGTGTTCGACCGAGCCGCAACCTCAGAACCGGGTCTGGAAGTTGAAAGATACTTGACTCAAATCATCGCTCGCTGACTGTCACCCGGCCACATTCCGCATCTCCTGTTGCATCCAGGTGCTGGGTCCTCTCAGAGACTTCTTGAAGAAGAATCTGACAAAGTACCGGCCACGAAACAGTTCATCGACAATAAGTGAAAGTTAAAGGCTGCACAGGGTCTTGTCGAAATGGCACCTCGTCTACACTACACACATAAGCCAACCTTTCAAAAAGTATATCGCGTGAACAATATTCTCGCGAGCACCGAATGTCCGCTCCGCTACCAGCTCACGAGCACCACGAAACATCGACCCAGACAGGTCAAGCTGTGCAGGTGTTGCCTGTGTCTTGATGCTATGACCTCGAAAATTCTTTTCACTAGCTAGCAGGCGTTGAGCAGCGCGAGTGTTTTGACATTGAACATGACTGCTGCCCAGACCATGCTTGACCAGCCCAAAGCTTAGCGAAGAACACGGAGCTTGGCGAAATCTTGACAACGTGAAAGATCTTTACAGGGTTGAGCTATGCTGATTCACCCTGTCTCGACTTTCAGTGATGGCAGAGTATAGGTAGTTCGAGTCAGGCATGTACACACTGCGCACGCTACATGTTTGACATGTGACTAGCGGAAGGTATGCCCGGTACCAGGACGCAATTGAGCAAGGCCGGGGTGTGACATCATTTGCGATCTTCGACTTCTCGTTGCCACGTCACTTTCTTGCGACTCAGGTGGGGAGATGCGAGACACGCGGCTAAGCGACGAGCCACATCGAGCAGAGATGGAGCGCGCCACACCAATCAAAAGTGCATCCGTTGAGCTTGGGGCGACTGGCATTGGCGGTTCTCACCACCTGTGAGGAGCATGAGGCAGAGCCGAACCCTCAATGGAAAGTCCGCCCATGAGAGCTAGCACACCTCGCATCACCTCGCCACGTGGCACGAACTCTTACTTGGCTTACACGGCCTTGCGCTTGGGCCTAGGCTGGAAGCGAGCCGAAATCAACATGCAGAGGCCCCGAACGTTCAGGGCCGCCTCTTCGGTTCAAAGTCAGCTTTGGAGTCAAGGCCGCAAAGCTGCGGCCATCATTTTCATAGCAGCCATGGCCATAGCAGCCACAGCATGCAGCGACCGTCTTCTGCGTTTCAGGAAGGAGAAGCCCGCCCTGCACGAAGGCGCTTGCTCAGGCCACACATACTGACCCGCCATGGTCAGTTTGGCTATGTTTGGCTGCTTTTCAGAGATGTTTCGTGCTGAGTCTGTTGTTTCCGCTCGTTTCCACACCAGGAAAGCAGACCGTGCGAACACAGTGTACAATGTGAAAATCAAGGCCAGCTGGGATGCAGTCTTTGTTCGCAGCAACGCTCGCGGTTAAATTCTCGGGCCAGTTGCCTGTTGACCTCGACATTGACGAGGAGGAGGAGCAAGCTGAGGCCATTGCCAGACTTTCGGTCTTCTTGCAGCTACCAGAAGCTCCACACAAATTGTCATAAATTGTCGGCGCAGAGTCATGCAAGTACCTTGAACGTATTTCTCAAAAAGTAGAAATCCGAGCATGAAAAGGCTGCGAGCACTGCTGCCGAAGCCGCTGAACCTCAAAATGAGTCCAAGCCAGAGGCCGACCATGCTATGCATTGCGGAGATCCTTCGTGTACAGAAGCGCCTGCCTAGATGGACAGATAGATTGTGCATTAATGGGTTGCTTTCTTGAATGCTGCAGGTGACCAAGCCTCTCGTTCGAGGACACATCGGCCTTTAATTCGTCGGATCACGAGTCAGCAATAGGGGCATAGTAGTAAAGAGCAGCGAAGGGAATAGGAGCACCTCCAGCTTGCAAGGAGAGGGCAAGAAGCAAACGCTCGCAGAACGTGTTGAAGAAGATTGGAAGAAGCCACGGCGCCAGCTAATTCATGTATTGCTATTTTCGGTACAGTAGTGGTGAATTCGAATCATGTGCGACTCTTCCTGCAATTGTTCATCTTGCTGTTCAGCCCCGGACACTTTGCGGGCGGAGAACCGTGGATACATATGGCCCAATTCTGGCATGTCCCGAATTTGCTTCATGCGCTACTAAACACTCACGCTGACTAAGCGCTGGATGACTGCCACGGTTCACAGAGCGTTTGTTTCCAGCATCATTCCAAATGCGCCCATGAAAGAGTCCGACAGGACGAGGGTGTCAGCTTAGAACAAGCACCGCCGTTCACCCCATGTTTGACAAATCGACTTGGACACGTGAGTCATCCCGCGTAGGGCTTCTACATCAAAGGTCAGCCCTCCCCGCAGACTCAGAAGCGTGGATCCGTTTTTGTAGAAGGTTGCGGCAATGGTGTCCAAGTCATACTAGGAACAACTTGCCTGTCTATTTCAGTATAAATGCTCTACTCCATACAGCAAGACATCTGAATCTGTGTGGTGCTGTGTGTCTGCGTCTCTGCGTGTATCGCCTGCATGCCTTTCCAAAGATCCGGAGATCGTACATGCAATCGAAGACCAGCAGGCAACGAAGACCAGGTAAATGTGCCGGTATGCAGACTCAAAAAATACTAAATTATGAGAGCCCGGCCCAGGAAAACTTGTTCTAGACTTCCTCAAAAGAGGCTTACTGACGGTCATGTGCGCATGTTTGTGAGAATGGCCGGGCAACATTACGAAGTCCAGCATGGATGATGACGTGAACGACATGGGTTTTCATCCCTGCTTTTGCATCCTTGCTGGAGGCCTAAGCTTGTGTCCCCCACCGAAGGTTTCATGGTGGCGCAGCTTGGGCAAATTTATTGTGTCAAAAGAGTGTTTGCAAGGAGGTTTGGCTTGCCACAGGTCCTTCCACGCAGATGCAGCTTGAGGGTAAACAGAGAATCAGCAGATGCCATCAGTGCCTTCCATATTCGTTTCCCCGTCACGAGCTGAGGAAGAGTAAGTTCACAGCCGGTGCCTCAGCTGGGCAGCAAGCGCGATTCCCCCCCCCCGGCCCCCTCCCCGCCGGCCCCCTCCATCCAGATCCAAACCCCTACGAAGTTTGTTAGCAACCCTTCGGATTATTCGGGGTTGATGTGGAATCCTTGGTGATGTCTGTACATGGCACGGTTGGGGGCTGTTCTGGAGAGTGCGATTTAAAGGCATGTGATTCTGGAACTTGAAGAGTTGCTGCTGCTGGCAAGACCCGAGAGCATTTTCTGATAGAAGGCTGGAGACCCATCTAGACGCTTTTTTCAGTGGGATGTGCACGGCAATACGCCTTACAGGTCAGCCAGGGAGGATGCACGACCCAGGGCTCTATGAATGCACTGCTAATGGTCCTATCAAACTGTCGTTTTGGCGAACCTGGGCCTAGTTTGCTTTAACCCGTGGGGAATTCTGATCGGGAAGAGGTCTTCATTTCCACTTCTCACTATAGCAGGTGTGAATTTACATGGCATGTGTGCGTCCGCGAAAGATCTGCGACAAAGCACACGAGAGACGAAGCTTTGGAGGATGTTGCGAGGGTTGCGCTTGCTTGGCTTTGGACCACTTTTGCTCCCAGGCCTTCGGTGGTCTGCGCAAAGGGGAGAAATTCACGATGGACAAAGCCGCCATCGTGCGAAGTCAGGCACCGAAGAGTGTGATCAAAACATCAGAAGTCCCGTATTACCACCACATCGATTCCAAAAGCCAGAAATGAAGAGGAAGTATCAGAGCATCAGTCCAGAACTACGGTTTAAAGATGTTGTCAGGCTCGTGATTCTAGTCCGTTTGCTGCTGCACAGACGCTTCAGCCACTTCGACATATGATTCAGTTCTTCACTTGCTGGTGATGGGCAGGCTCGTGCGCAGAGAGACGGTGAAGAGGCAAAGCGAACCCAGCACCGACCAATCTGACAGCTGCACAGTCAAAGCACCATATGCCGCTTCAAGTTGCAACGAGCGATCGGAAAAGCCAACGCACCAAGCGAGCACAATTTGACTGCAGGAGACCTACCGGTGGTCGGGACCGAGCTGGCTTAAGGCACTTGCCCAGTGTGTTCCTTTTGATACTGCAAGCTCTGGATGCTGTTACGCAACACGATGGCCTTGGCACTATTTCCCGACGTCTTGTGAATTGAACGAGAAAGAAACTGCCTTGTCGCTTCTTAGCTTTTGGCATATGCACACACCTTCAAATTGCATGGAAGCCAGAGTTCTGCATTGCCAGCTCCACATGTTTCAGCTTTTGACAAACGGACTTTGACACAGACTTTTGCACGCCATGGGTTTTCTACGAGATGTGCGGGAGAAGCTGTTCACTCAGACTGGACTGGCCACGGCCTTCTTGATGCTCTGATGCAATTGCCTACACCCTGCAACAGCCTGCACCAGCGAATTCATGCCCAGGGCCCTGTCAGCTGCGTGTGTGTGCATTCCCCCTAGAGAGTACTGGGATGCGGTGGGTATCTGTGGGTGTGTTCTGCCGCTGCCTGACGTGCATCATGAAGCTGGCTTGCCGAATCGAGGATTGGCACCGTCGGGTACCTGGGCACTGTCCAGGGCCAGAGTGCATGGACTATGTCAGGTGACTAGGCTTCAGCACGGTCCTTGAAGCGAAGCAGTACTGTGAGGTACTTGGCCTGGGATTTTTTCAGAGAAGTCCTTGCTGCAAGGGCAGCGGCAGCGCGCCGGGCACTGATGGCTGCCTGCCTGACAGAGAGGCAGAGCTTAGTATGCTTGAATCAAAATTTCCAGCAGAAACCCAAATCCAACAGTGGACAGTTTCTCTTTTCACGGGCACAGACGTCCAAAAGTCACGAAAATTTTGAGCACGGCAAGCGTGGCCACACCCACGCCGGGCGAGAGCGGGATTTCTTCGTCCAAAATGTGAGCTGGCTTCGCAGGGCGCGCCACGCCCCCCCCTCAACGTTGGCGAGTGCTAGTGCGAGAGTCGAAACGTTGGAACCCCTTGATAGTGCTGTTTGGGGAATAATGAAAGCAATTTGCTTTCTTGCCTCCCGTTTGACGATATTTGACGTCATGTCTGAAGTTTGCTGGTTGCTGGCCTCAGCTCTATCTGCTCTCTTCGGCATGCTTTTCTGGCTCCCTTCGGCTTCCTTTGCTAGCTGCTTTGTTGTTGTATGCTGTTGTGCTTGTCTGTGAAGTTTGACGGATGCTGCACACCCTTTGTTCCCAGGGCCCCTTCAGCTGACTTCTGTGCATGCAAGAAGTAAGAACACTGTAGTATACTGTGGGGGTGTGCGCTTCCACTTCTGCATTTGATTGTCCTATGTTGTATCGCTTTCCTCGCAGGCTTTGATGTAAAAAAAAGAGAAAGAGAGAGCGAGAGGGAAGAGAGAGAGTGAGGGGCGCTTTGGGCCCAGAAGCAGAAGAAGAGAGAGAGAGAGAGCGAAGACAGTGTCCACACCACCTAGACTGAACAATTCGCACGCGCCACCGTGATGGCGCAGTGCACGTCACGAGCTGAGGAGAAGATGCACGTAGAGCCGCGTGATTGGCACGAGGAGGAGCTACGGCCCTATGACGGCAGCGACACCGAGAAGCCGACACCCGGCTTGCAACCTTGGAAAGAGTGGCCAAGAATACCGGCAAGACATCCGGAGTGGTCGTCTCACGTACTCTGTACATTGCTATACTGTAGCCGGAGCTTCGGCTTGTGCGTTTGTGTTCCAGACGGCCATCATAGGTTGTTAGTTGGCATCGATGGCATCACGGCTGCATTTCCAGTTCAGTGCGGCATGGCGCGACACTGCCGGCAATGCCGGTGCAATTTTGGTTGGACAATACTCAACTCAACACAACTGAGGTGAGGTCTTCAATGTGTGGAGGGGCTGGGACTTCTATGGAAGTGGTGGTCCCTACAACGGCTTCGCTGGGAGAGATGCAACGCGACTTCTGGCCAAACAAATTGTCAGCCAAGAGGAGGACGACGGACAGCCACTGAATCGGGAGGCTGGGTTGCCAGTTCTTGTCTATAATTTTCGCATTCGCGGTACTGTTACTTGTTCGCCAACGACGAGTCCAGCGACTGGGTATAACGCAGAAGCAGTTTGGCCCTTGAGGCGCTTACAGGTGTAGGCACCTCACTCTGCCGGGGTCAGCCCGGACCATACAGCCAAGTCAAAACTGGAATCGCGCATGCAGCTGGACAGTAGCTGAGTAGTAGCAACGGCCGATGACACAAAGACATGTAAAGAACTGCACAATGCACACGATGCAGTTCGCGTTTTCCATTTTTCCATTCCGCTGTAGGAGCTTGAGAACATGCAGAACTGGAAAGAATACTTCCGATTCAAGTATGATGTGGCTGGCAAGTTGGTTTCGTGACGTTTCCGCTGGTACAGTGGCAAGATAACGCTGAGCTTTCCGCACACTTTGTCGACGAGTGCGAGTCGACAGTAGAAGTGGGGCGACTCAATGTCTCACATGTACAGTGCGTCGGAGAAGGCCGTCGAATTGTTCGATCTTGCCCTTCTCAGATGGCGCGGATGGTTAAAAAGCAGTCGGGTGGCCTGTCTGCGAAATCCTGCAACAGCCTTAGGAGTTCAAGTTGCTGTCGACTCTGACGACCAAGTGGTTGCTACTTGAAACAGCGATAGTTCTTGCATCTGCATGCGGACCGAATGTCATGCAACGAAGCAGTCTAGGAGTCTAGCTTCTCAGGGCTTCACTGTGGCGAGAATAACATCCCGACCATGCCAGGGACAGATCCACATGGCCGTGCTTTGTCAAAAAGGGCAGAAGTCGGCCGCAGATCCAACTCCAAATCAGGACAGCCACGGAACGTACTTCTATATCACAGCCGGAAGTCTGGAAGCATGCTGGGTGTTCGACAGCGGGTTAGGTTGGAATCACCACATCACCGGAAGAAAGATGGGACTGTAGCCCTGTGTACCAGTGGATCACGGGTTACATGACGTATAATCTGCCTATGTTATTGTATTAATCCCTGTGACCTATCAATGGAAAGGAACGGCTGCGGGTAAACGGAACCGGAGAGGGGGCGAGTGTGAGGGCTTAAGGATCTAGGAACTGGCGACAAAAACGCTCGTTCAGGGTCTCAGGTTCGGACTGTCGCATGTCGCTTGCCTGAGATTCCTGAGAGCCGTTGCCGTTCTGCCAGGACAACTATTTTGCCCTTCATGCTTGGCCCCAAGCAGCCTTGACTTCAGCAGAAGAACAAGTGAGAGTCTGGCTTCTGAGTTTCTCAGGTTGGGAGCATTGGGCTGTATGGTGTGTGCGATGGACATGGCCCGTTTGGACACCTCGTTTCCTTCCGCCTGGCCTCGTGCTGAGTTGGCCAGTTTCGTGCAGTCCCCATGGCTCACACTGCTTCAGCTCGAAAACTCGTGTCCGACCACGACCTTGTGAACTCTGCCTCTGAGATGTGAACATGTGTCATATCCTCAGGTGCAGACTTTACCACATTACTTGACCACCAGCAAGAGCTGGGGCGAGGTGGAGTACCCAACGTGCATGCAACATGATGACACTTGCATACTGCGTACATCAGGCACAGACTGACCACTGCAGGACTGGGACACCTGTTTGAAGGAAGCCTTCCTCGCGGCCCAGGCAGACCTGTTGACGCTTGCCGCAACAGAAGGCCGGTCCTCCTGAAGCAAGCTCTTGCCTTCGCTTATGGCATCGCATGGCCTAGTAGAAGGGGCAGTGGGCGGCTGAGTGCACGATCCATGACAATCATGCCATCTACACTACACTTCAGGCATCAATTTGGAAGCTTCTGGTGCAGCTGGGACAGTGCTCGTTTTCGAGGCGCGCTGCGCAGCCAGCCTTTGCATTGAGTGATAGACTCGTTCATGCAGGGCCCGTGCATCCATGTTGCTCACATCGGCGACGCAGGCCAGCATGAGTGCTCATACTTCAAAGAACTACGGCATTATCCCCAGCAGAAAGCATGCCTGTCCTGTAAATCTGAGCCCATTTTGCCTAGATATGTAGCCTGCCTTAGACTTTTTAATGTGGACGCGCGACAACGACGTGGGCATTTGCCCCTCTGGCATTTGTTAGCGGTCTTGTCCGACATCTTCGGGGTGTGCAACGCAGGATGCCTGGTAGCATCCTGGAGCCGGCACGATTCACGAGTCTTGCATGGCACGGAGGAGCTTGAGCCAGTCACACCCCACACGTTGCCGTGCACATGTTTTTGGGATTTTCCAGAACCTGGGGTTTCTAGGGCACCAAAGAGGCCCAGTGAGCATGAAGCGAGGACGGAGCGAGCACAGTGTAAGAGACGGCCAGGACCACAAGCCAAACAATCCCGAAGAACGCCAGCGGCTCGAGGCGGCAGGAAGTGAGGTTCGGCAGGCCGCAGCCCGCAGCACCCTGACGTGGCTTCTGATTCCCGAGTGTGGAGTTAGGACATGCGGAAGATACAGGCTGTTCAAGGCATCTTGAGACATTTTCCCTCATGTTGGTCTTGCCCTTTGGTCTGTTTTGCTGCTTTGTGTGAGCCTACGCTGTCTTTTTCTTTTTAGACGTCACGTCACATGCTTGACACCGCTGCGCATGTTTGCCGTAAAACAACAAAGTGAACAAGCCATATGGTAGTTTGCACAGTGAAAATGCAGTCTACAACAGCACACAGACGTGTACTTGAAATTAAAATGAAACCACGCGCATGCATGCAGGGTCAGATGCAACCAACATCTACTATAGAATCATACAGCTGAACTTGCAGCAACTATGTGTAGATGTTATAGATGCATCGGCATGTGAATCATATGATCCTGGTGCTTCGGCTTAGACTAGGCTTACTGTCGAGGTGTGGGATGCCGGGCCTAGGCTCACATTAGGCTTGGTTAGCCATACGCTGCCCTGCCATTGACAGATCAATATCCATCACTATAGTTTGTCCATGAACCTCTAACATCTAGTTTTTGGAGCACTGTGACCTAGAGTGTAAAATTGCCGGGAACCACAGGGAAAGAGCTTTCGGACAGAGCACGAACCGTTCGCAAGCAATGCGCAGAAAAATGTTGTCCCAGGCGATGTCAAGAAAGAAAGCAGATACTGCACCCTATGTCAGGCAAGGCCTAGCCCCGTCCAAGCCATGAACCTTGAAACCGGTCGATGTGTCACATGACTAGACCGACCAAGCGAAGCCTTGCCTGCCGTGCTCGAGATTGAGAATCGAAAACCGGTCTCGGTCAGTAGGCGCTGCGCTGGCCCAAAGCTTTGAGGAAGGAAGTTTGACTGCGCCGACATCTTGATAGTCTAGGTTTCGGGCAGAGTTCCGAGAAGGTCAAGAGGGTCAATAAGACATCTCGAAATCTGCATTTTCACGATCCGCACAGCGGCCGCAAACCCTACAAAGTCTTCATCCGAGACCCCAAACGTGACACAAGCCTGATTTTCTGTAACTCCTAAGCACGAGAAGAATCTAGATGCGACAGGAGATCCATGCGGAGCTTTGACTCCTCAACCTGGCGCCTTTTTTTCCTACCCCGACATGTGCCGAAGCCTAGAGTTCAGAGCCTATGTCTATTGACCGCCCAGTCTTGATAGACGCATACATCACAGCCCTCATGATCTGCCTCTCTCTCTTTTCCGCGCTTGCTTTTGCAGAACCCTGTTTACGAAGCGCTACACGACCCGCCTCGGCCGGGGCCTGCCGCCACGGCTTCATGGGTTCTTTTCAAGTCGAAGGGAAGAAGTTCGGCAGACTGGTTCTTGAAGCGAGAGGCAAGGCACGCCACTAGAGGCAGGGGACGCAGAGGGAAGTGCAACGGCAGGGGCAGGGGTAGGGTTGGAGGGTGGGGAGGCCGGGGAAGGGATGGGAGGAGGTGGGCCAAGGCTTTTGGTGTCCGTCCCGTATCGACGGCCGCAAGATGCCCCAAATGCACGCTTGTGCTGACGCACCATATCGCATCATCCACTCCCGGACAAACAATGTCGGATTGGGTGGGGTACCTGCTTTATGCTACCCAGACACTTACGGCGGATCCGCCAGCTTGTTCTCATACGATTTCAAAAATAAAGCTGTTTAGTGAGCTTTTCTATTGCTTAGGCTAAGGAGTTGTTTTTTCACAAGAGAGCCAAAATAATTGATAGATTATGTAGTTGAACTAGTAGACTAAGACCCCATGGGGAGGGGGGAGGTGGGACTGCTGGATGTTAGGGGGCGTGGGTACTTCAACATCCGAGAGGCCACAGGCGTCAAGGACAGGCTAGGGAGCTCCTGACTTCGGCTGGCCAGGGCGGTTCAATAAGCTGGGAACGTGACGTCGGGCAATTGGACTTAGGTTCGTTTTGGATGCTTTGTTCTAGTTTAGATGTTTTGTGGTTTTCTCACACCAGGCCCTGAAAGTAAGACCATGCAAAAACGTCGGCCCACGCCGGCCCCTTCTCGTAGAGTTTCAGGCCGTGCAGGGGCAGTTTGTGGTTTTCAGATTCAAAAAGCGTAGAGAAAGCGTCATAGAAGGAGTGGGAGATGATGGGACTGATTTTTCTGGCTTGCAGCATACGCTGGGCGTGATCATCGCAGGTGGATGTGGACAGCTTCCGGATTTACATCAAGGGCACGAATTTCCCCGGCCTGACCATGCATGACACTCAGAACCGACTTACGCAAGCTCGCTGTCAAACTCGAGACTTCCATTCAAACCCAAACGTGGCCAGACCGTAATCCCCAATTGTCCGGGCTGACATTGTGCTCTTCACCTACAGGTCCCGCGCCTTCGGCGATACTGCATGTGCGGGTGTGCTTCGTGCATCTCGGCCTGAACTTGTCATGTTTTGAGCAAGAAAGTTCGTAAACATAATCCAGTCAAGCGTCCAGATCACATCCAGAATCGCATGCGGGTTGAGAGCACGGCGATTCCGTCACTGCAGCTCGCATGAAAATGCTACCGATGGGGAGGTGTTTTCGCACAGGCTGCATGTCTTGCATGCTTGTCTCGTGAAGGAATACGAAGGTTTGCGTATCGATTTTAGCCAGGAAACTTTGCACGTGATGCGACTGGTTGTTTAGAACAAGTAGTCTTTGCTCTGGTGCCCACCTGTTGCGTCCTTTCTACCTCTCGACTCCACCATTCTGACAACCACCCTAAACAGTTTTGTCTACCCAACTCGGAAAAGCAAGGGGCAAAAGCGTTCAGACCACAAGGCATGCATCTGCGACAAACTGTCTGCGGCATGCCCTCCTCTTCAAGGTCACCATGTCCCTCCAAAGAAACTGAATCCTTGGGCTACGACTGCAAGAAATTGAAAAAGGCTGGAGGAATTCCAGGCCTTTCCTGAAATCCATTATCCTAAAGTTCAAAGTCAAACTCGCAGGTCTTTAGGAAGTTGGGAGCTACATCCCCCAAATTCTGAAAGTTATGCCTTTTGAAGCTCTAGATATTTCGAGTGCCTCGGGACCCGGACTTAAGATTTTTAGGAGTTTCGGGCCTTTCCCGAATTCGAATCTCAAACAAGAAGTTCGAAAGGTCAAAAGTCTTATGAAGCTTGTAAAGCTTCTTCCCGAACCTCGGGACGTGGAAGCCCTAAAATTGTTGAGCTTCCGAAGTTTTCGGATGTCAAGAATCCTGGGCATCTTTCTATGCTCACCCCCCTTTCCTTAAGAAAAAAGTGTGGGACTCAAATGAAGCGACTGGGAAGTAAAGTTGAGGGCTCTCGGGTCTTGAAGCCTTAAGCTGGCAAGCTCGAATCAATGCCTTCCGCAACGTACGACTGACGCCCGAAACTTGCTTGATCAGGCTGCTCGAAGTCTCAGGAAGCTTGTACGAACATGCCGGATGCCATCATCCCAGAGAGCTAGAATTCGAGCCTAGAACACCTTAAACTCCACCATCTCCAACTCCCCAGAGAGCCTTGCAAACACAAACCCGAATCGCCCCAACACCTATTCCCGCGGGACAGGGGCTTCTTCATGCTGTTTAGTGGTGTTGCTGTCTGAATCAATGCGAGGAGCCTTTTCTTTTTATTCAGTTCTGCCCCTAAAAATAACCTACAAAACTAGTTCTGGAAGCCTCCACACACGTCCTCTTCCAAACACAGTTGTGTTGGCGGCAGGCAGGCCCTGAGGAAAAGTTGGGTCTTTTACTATGTACCACTTTGAGGGCCTGAGGGGTTGAACGTGCAATCCCAGAACCTGAAAACAAATCCGAAACGAAGCTGAATAAATTGAAGCAGTCGAATGAGCTGTGGTGGGTTTTTGGACGGAGCAGAGGACCATGATCTGCATTGATGATCTGCATTGCTATTCAAATTTGTTGTCCAATTTCTCCATCAGGCACAATTTTTCGTGGCATCTTTAAATTGAACCTTGGATCGGGATGTGCAGAACAGTGCTTTACTTAATTTGGTTCATCGAATTCGTTTACTTCAGGTTCTATTAATTCAGTTTAGCTACTTAACCCTTTAGTAAGCAAATTGAGCCATTGGAATTCCCTCAACTAATTCAACTTCAACAAGCAGAAAACCTCAATTTCATTGATTACCAATTGCAATTGGTTTAGTTCAAGGTAAACGCATTCAGCTGAAATTACTTTACTTAAGTCATCTCAACAAACAAAACCTCTTACTTAACTTAAGCACGTTATCTGCTAACGAAAACCTGTTCCTTTTTGAATTCTTGTGCTACTCTAAATCACGCATCAATGAAGCAATTAGATCAGGTTTGCTTATTGGTACACTTTAGTGCGTTGAAAGCACCTTTCGCTCTAAATAGTTTGCCAATCACCAGTCATTTAGTCTGGTTAAGGGCGACTTAAATAAGTTAGTTTACTTAACCCTTAGATGGAAGATATGTTTAGTTCTTGATTCTTGAGAAGGCCTATTTACTCATTCCATTTAAGCAAGTAAACAAGTCAAAGCTAGCCCAGGATTGTTTTACGGATCGTGACTTAACTTTTCTCGCTACGCGACCCGCCTTGGCCTGGTTCCAATGCAGTGCTCGGAGAGGGGCCGACGTTGGGAGGGGGGAGGTGGGGGGTCTGCACCGTCTGCTCCCACACACACTTCTCGCCCACAAGAAGTACCCATGCCAGGGCAAGAAAAGGCCAGATAAAGGGCTCAAGCTGGTTGGTGAGGGGATTAGAGTGATTAGAGGTGAGGAAACCCGAAACCCTCAACTCTGACCTATGCCCACAACGCAACGCCCCGACGTAGAAGGGGGGCAGGCCTGCGCCGTCCGCCAAATTAACAGCAAACACCCATGGCCGCCGCATCGGCGAAGTGGTGGTCCCTGTCAGTCACGTAACTCACGAAGTGTGAGCCGAGCTGCGAGGATAAACTGTGTTATGTCTAGAAGATGGTTGGAAGAAAAAGCCAAAAGGCAGGTGAGGGGGGTGTGCCTGTTCTGAGAACCTAGACACCTTAGGCCGAGGCCTCGGTGGATTCATGTACTTCAGCCTTGAGTAAGCTAATGCAACGATTGAAATTACTCATGACATTTTTCAGCTTAATTGGTCTAGCTACTAGTTCATTAACTTCAGTGAACAGACTAATTCGGATTGGTTGAACACATCTTTAATCCAATTCCGCATTAAATAGATAAAAGGATGCCGCGCTCTCGCCCATGTGCATGGGAGCATCATCCACTCGATGCCGTCTGGTCCAAGTAAAGTTCTCCTGGCACGTGTTCGTTAATGCGATGCAAAAAACTTACTCTTGCGGCAAAACCTGGGCCGGGGGGGAGCCTATATACATGTATGTATATACATATATACATAAATATATATATATATATATATATATATATAAGCTCACCCCCCCCCAATGGACCCACCGCGGATGGCAGCCGAGTCCTAGCCAGATCAAGGCAAAAAACAACAAAACAAGAAACTAGCAAAAACCAACAAACCAAAAAAATCCAAAAAACCAAAAAAACCAAAAAAACCATCTTTTCCAAAACTATGGGGCTGGGGCCTCCAAAAGATGGTTTTTTTTGGTTTTCTCGAGAAAAAGATGGTTTTTTTGTTCGAAACCATCTTTTTCTCGAGAAAAAGATGGTTTTTGAGCAGCCGCTCTTCTAAAAACCATCTTTTTCTCGAGAAAAAGATGGTTTTACCAGGACAAGACCTCCAAAAACCATCTTTTTCTCGAGAAAAAGATGGTTTTACCAGGACAAGACCTCCAAAAACAATCTTTTTCTCGAGAAAAAGATGGTTTTTCCAGGACAAGATCTCCAAAAACCATCTTTTTCTCGAGAAAAAGATGGTTTTTCGAAGAGCGGCTGCTCAAAAACCATCTTTTTCTCGAGAAAAAGATGGTTTCGAACCAAAAAAACCATCTTTTTCTCGAGAAAACAAAAAAAACCATCTCTTGAAGGCCCCAGCCCCATAGTTTTGGAAAAGATGGTTTTTTTGGTTTTTTTGGTTTTTTTGGTTTTCTCGAGGAAAAGATGGTTTTTTGGTTCGAAACCATCTTTTTCTCGAGAAAAAGATTGTTTTGAGCAACCATCATTCGAAAAACCATCTTTTTCTCGAGAAAAAGATGGTTTTACCAGGACAAGACCTCCGGAAACCATCTTTTTCTCGAGAAAAAGATGGTTTTTCCAGGGTAAGATCTCTAAAAACCATCTTTTTCTCGAGAAAAAGATGGTTTTTCGAAGAGCGGCTGCTCAAAAACCATCTTTTTCTCGAGAAAAAGATGGTTTCGAACCAAAAAAACCATCTTTTTCTCGAGAAAACCAAAAAAAACCATCTTTTGGAGGCCCCAGCCCCATAGTTTTGGAAAAGATGTTTTTTTTTTGTTTTTTTTGGTTTTTTTGGTTTTCGGTTTTCTCGAGAAAAAGATGGTTAAGTTTTAGGGGTTTAAGCCTCATGCACTACAGGGTTATAAGGTTCTAATCCTATAGGTATTGCCTTAACCTTTAACCCTAAACCTTTAACTTTAAACCCTGCAGGGTTAACCCCGTGAGAAATTTAGAGATAGACCCCGAAAAGACCCTAAACCTTCTTACAGGGTGTAATGGTTTAAAAACCGATAGGACATGTATACCTTCAGCGCCTGTAGGGTTCAAGCCTTTGAACGTGCTAGACCCCTATAGGGTGCTAAGGTTCTGACCCTAAAGGGTTTAGGATTAAGGCTTAAATGCCCTCTAGGTTTAAATGCCTAAGTCTTAAACCCCAACCTTTAAACCTTCATCCTATGGGGTTTGAAGGTCAAGGGTTTAGGCTTGATTGCCGAGGGCTTTAGGGTCCTGACCCTAGAGGGTTTAGGGTTAAGGAATAGATGCGTAAACCTTAAACCCTTAAGGTTTAAACTCTATGGGCTTAGGGGGCTTAGGTTTTTTTAAACCCTAAGCCTTTAAACCTTCACACTACAGAGTTTAGAGGTGTTAAGGGTGACAAATTGATTACATACTTAGCTTTAAATGCCTGAATCTTAAACCCCAAACCTTTAAACCTTAACCCTATAGGGTCCAAAGGTTAAGGGCTTAGTGTTAATCGCTGTCTTAGGTTTAAATGTCTGAATCTTAAACCCTAAAACTTTAAACCTTCACCCTATAGGGTTTAAAGGTTAAGGGTTTAGGTTGAATCGTCAGCTTGGATTTAAATGTCTAAGTAAAGAATCCTAAACCTTTAAATCTCATCCCTATGGGGTTTAAGGTTAAGGGTTCAATATGAACTGCCGGCATAGGTCTAAATACCTAAACCTTAAACTTAAACCCTAAACCTTTAAATATCTTAACCCTATAGGGTTTAAAGGTTAGAGGCTTAGCGTAAATTGCCGGAATAGGTTTAAATGCCTAAATCTTAAGCCCGAAACCTTTAAACCTTAGCCCAACAGGGTTTAAAGGTTAAGGGTTTAAAATTAGTTGCAGGCTTAATTAGGTTTAAATGCCTACATCTTATATCCTAAACCTTTAAAAATCTTAACCCTATAGGGTTTAAAGGTTAAGGGCTTGGCTACAGGTTTAAATGGCTAAATATTAAACCCTAAGCCTCTAAACTTTAACCCTACAGGGTTTAAAGGTTAAGGGTTTAAAATTAGTTGCAGGCTTAGGTTTAAATGCCTACATCTTAAACCCTAAACCTGTAAAAATCTCAACCCGATAGAATTTAAAGGTTAAGGGCTTAGCTTTAATTACCGGCATAGGTTCAAATGCCTAAATCTTAAACCCTGAACCTTTAAACCTTTACCCTACAGGGTTTAAAGGTTAAGGTTTTTTTTTTGCAGGCTTAGGTTTAAATGCCTAGATCTTAAATTATAAACAAAAGCCAACAGAAAGAAAAACCCTCCGTGCGTGTGTGAGAGGGTGAATTAAGGAATACAGTCAAAAATCCGGTCACCGGAAAATCACCAGACAGCATAGGTTTTATCGGTATTTGCGGTACTTTTGCAAAGATCAAGGCCCGCGGTGGGTCCATTGGGGGGGGGTGACCATATATATATAACCCGTTTGCCATGATCCGTACACCCAAGAAGATAACACAGGGGACCAGCGTCCCGCGGCACTTGCTTGGCAGTCGCTTGAATTGGAACCTGTGACGCAGGAGCCGCACTACCAGCGCATGTTCATCCAGCCATCGGATGAGCTTCTCAGACGCATGTAGGATGGCAGAGAGAGAGGGAGAGAGCGAGAGAGAGAGAGAAAGAGAGAGAGAGAGAGTTTGCAACGGGGAAGGTTGCTGCAGTGAGGGGTTCTTGAGTTCAGGGGGAAAGCGAGTGAAGGGTAGTATGAGAGGCATAACGTGATAGACACATGACATTCCGTCCGAGTACGGTGACTGAGTCACCACCCTATGTTAATAACACTGACTTTCCATTCAGTGAAAGATCCAGCAATTCCTTGGGGGAAACAACTACGTTTGAACGACCAACTGGATTCTAATTAGTGGGTGGGGCACTCATAAACGACCCCATCTTGTATCAGTGCAAGTTTTTCCGGTTGGCCGAAGGGAACGATAGCACAGCGGGGAAACTTTGGTTCTTGGCTGCTGTTTCCTGTCTTAGTCGGGGGTGTTGCTTTAGTGGGGCTGTCTGTGCTCCCTGTTCCTGAGTTTTGGACCAAGGAGTCTAACCAATTGAAGCAATAATACCGGGGGAACTGAGGTTTGCAGTACTCTGTACACTAGGGGGAACCCTCCCTTGGATCCTTGATGCCAGATGTTTCCCCAGCTTCAGTACGTGTCACGCCGACTGGAGACGGACTTTCTGGGCGCGCCTCGCGCGCGGGGGTTCAGGGACTTCTGCCCTGTCCCTCATGGCCCGTAGTAGAAGAAGAAGAAGAGTTTGTAACGACCTCCGGGGCAACAGTGTATAGGTGTTAAGTTAACGGGATGCGGGGAAAGGGCAATGCAGCAGTGTATCCTTGAATCCACCGCCACAGTCTGACTCAGACCTGAGACAGTCCGAGTGCTCCCAGCGCGCGGGGGATGTGCGCATCCCTCAAGCCCCGCAGAGGAAGAAGAAGAAGAACCCCAAACCAGCCCCTCCGCTGGCAACCCCCCCTGCGCTCTTCTCTTCTTCTTCTTCTTCTTCTTCTTCTTCTTCTTCATATTCTTCTTCTGCTGCTGGGCAATGAAGGAGCCCTGACGGACTGCTCCGCGCGCGAGAGTGCTTTGTCCACGTGAAACTGCGTTCCCCGGGCATCCTGTGGCTGTGGTAGGACTTCTTTCCCCGGGGTGTGATACTGCCTGCGGCCTGTGCCGTTTCCCCCTTACAACCCGGGTTCGGGCTCATGCGACTTCCCAAAGGCCTGAAGCCAACACCAGAAACCTTGTCACAACCAATAGTCGAAAATCTTGCCCCGAGGCCGACATTCCCGGCTGAGTGCTTTCGACTCTTTTCGGGTTTGTTATGGTCTGTGATAGCTTGCTCCTCCTTCTTCCCATGTTGGGTTCTTGTCGTCCACCAGCCTGCGAGGCTCTTCTTCCGCTCTAGGTACAGTGTGCGCTTGTCCTGGTGTCTCACGGAGTATGATCAATGTCACATGTGAGAAAAGACATAACATGAAGCAAGACATCACACCCCAGCCTTTGAGTGGAACAACAAAGAAAAGTGCGGACTCTCGTGCCCACTCCTGTCGACTCTGCTCGGACGCAGACACGGCGGGCACGCCCTTGTGCACAGGGGCCCTCCCCCTACAGTAAGCCCGGTAAAGGACAAAATGATCCATTGTTCGACTTGCTAGCTTCGGAGTCTAGCAGGGTATCCACACGCAGCAAACGTGGCAAATCGCTGGCGTCCCGGAAAACGCGAAATCCCGAATGCCATGATACTGCAGCTATTTTGGGGGCCAACAGTTTCGCCCGACTGTTGCCGGGGGGCTAGAGAACAGAGAAGAAGAGCATGGTTGTAATACCTCGGTTCGATCGGTACGCGGTTGTTAGCGAGCCAATTCGAGGGCGGGGCTGTGTCAAAACACGCCCACTACCAAGACCCCTGGAACCAAACCCATGAAAGTCCCAGGATGCATGTTTTTTTTCTCGCGAATAGGCCACCTTTTGAAGGAGTTGGGCCACTGACATCGTTTGTGTGGGGGTTAAGGGCACGTGAGGTGCCTCAAGAAAGAAAAAGGAGAGGCAGATGGAAAGAAATACGATCCTTTTCCGAGTCAAGGGTGCACATTCAGCCAGGGGTTTGGGGTGACACTTCGCGAGCAAAATTTGAGCAGCGTGGTTTTGTTCATGTAAGGCAGGGTTTAAGTTCATATGTTGAGACGTTACTGGTGAGCGCAAGTTTGGCTCCTGTATCCATGGTGTTGGAGATACTAGAAAGACTAGAAGCAGTGCATCTCGAAACACAAGCCCATTTCGTGTGGCCATTCTCTTTGCAAGGCGTAGGTTCGCAGAGGCTACACGAGCCACAGCTGTGAATCGTAGGTTCTGCTCAACGCATAGCCTGTTTTGCTGCCGAAAGTGCATTCCTGGGTAGACCGTGCAGGGTTCGACAAAATGACACCAACCCAAGCAAGAAGAAGCACGCTAGATGAACAGACAGCACCACGAAATGCAGGGCAGAGGGGCAAGACTTCATGCTGCATGTCCAGGGTGTATGCTGTGATCGCCTCTGACGGCATCTGGGAGTTCATTGACTATGCCAAAGCTGTCGACCTCACGTCAAAGAAGCACAGCCCTGAGACGTCAAGCATGGTGAGGCTGAGTGATGGGTCATGTCTTGCCCCCCGACTCGACTTGACAATCCATGCATAGTGTATCAATAGGTCTGAGAAGCTATGCAGCATGCCTTGCTGGTGTCGAGCTGGCGTGGCCCAGGCTCCGCCTGAAGGGTCCCCGAGAGGCCGCAGCGTTCACATGTCCAGCCGCACCTGTACAGCTGTGTGCCCTTACACCTGCTCCTGGGCACGAGTTTGCATCCAAAGCAAGTGGCCATCGTTGCACCTTTTATTTTGTGCCGCTCCTTATGCAGGCGGTTCGGCACCTGGTTGATGCCAGTCGGTTGGGGACTTGGCCTTGCAGAAGCACCTGTTATTCTGCAAAAGCGCATCTGAGCCAATGAGTGACAAGGGTCACATTAAGATTCAGATGCGGGCCTTTTGCATAGTCACCCTGCTATGCATGGAAATGCATTCTTGATGGGTCCAGCTACGGGTCCTTGCAGCTTCCTGTCAACAATCTCGTCACACGAGGAAGCGATGGGCTGCCTACTGTGGCGAGTATTGCGCTGATCTTAGCGCCCACATATTCAAGCCCATCATCCCAAAAATCTTGGTGTGCCAGGTGTGCCTGAGGAAATGACAGACACTGGACCACCCTGCAACATTCAGACGCTCCGACTTAGGCAAAGTTGTGGTTGCCTCCTGCATCAAACTGTTCCTTACCACACAGAAAGTGGTTCAATCTTGTCCAGGCTCGACACCCCAAAAAGCCATGCCCCATGGTTTCGGACAGATTTGGCCAGCCAAAGTTAAGCCGCTTGCTCTGTAGTCCCATGCTGGGATGGTATATCTCCGCGCACGTGACATGATGTCCCTTCAAGTGCAACTTTACCTCCTTACCTTTGCATGCTATTTCTACCAGAGATGATTGGTGCCTATCGACTTTTGCAGGAGGCTCGTGAGGCTGATTGCCCAAAAAAAGCTTCCTTTTTGGAGTTGGAACCCAATTTTTGTGGACAGCCTGGCGGATTCGGAGTTTGCACGGTTGCCCCGGCATCTCCCACGGTGATGTTGGGACCTTTGCCTTTCAGAACCCTTCACGCCATGAGGCAGACTGGATTTCTTGGGGTGGGTGGGGGAGAAGGCTTGCTGCACTAACGAGGCCGATCGATGGCTTTGATCTGAAGAAGCATCTCTTGCGTTAGTAAAGCTCTATCTCCTCGAGAAAGCGAACTGCTGAATGTTAGGATGTTCATACAGAGGTGACGACATCACCGCCATGATTGTGAAGTGGAACGTCAATGTCAAGGACTACCTTAGAGCAAAAGAAGGATGTAGGCTCCTCATACTTGTATCTGCAAGTGCGCAGGGGACAGACTCAAGTGACAACCACGAGTTCACCTTGATACGCCCGGAGCTTGCCGCTGGCCCTGAAGCGGCAGAGAGAA